ACAGATCCCACACGATCGGCCCCGTGGCAACTCAATGAGACGTAACTATATGTGGCTGAGGCAGACGGCCGGTGCCAATTGCCCGAGCCTATGGCCAGAGCCATGTGCCTGAGGCAGACATGCCGGCTCAATATTGCGGATATTTTTCGCTATTTTTCTGCAGGTGCAGCGGCCACGTTTGGCACCTGCAGCTCCGCCTTATCTCAACGCAATACATACTAGTAAGTAAACCGTCCTGGAATTTTTTTTCAGTTACTTGCTGGAATTTCTCTCGAGTTAGACATGTTTTGCTCGAGCGATCGTGTCCTGCTGCCGGCAGCTGCGCGATATTTGGATCCGGGAAAGTTCTCTGAGAAATTTGAGGTTGCAAAACTGACGTGAAATTTAGAACCGAAGTGATGAAGTCTGAGATGCGTTAGTATGAGGACTGCAATTTTCATTCAGGAACGTATGACGCCTGAGATGCGTTGTTATGAGGTCTGCAATATTCATGTTGAAATATATGGCGTATTAGATGCTTTGGTATAATCAATGCAATTTTCCTTCAGAAATTCATGAAGCCTTACATGTTTTGGTTCTAGCAATGCAAATATATAGCGAATAAAAGAGAGAAATGAGAGATTAGAAAACGAATAAACTCTGCCTAAATTTTCACTCTGTGGGCCCCGAACGAAACCGTATCAATTCCATGTCAGATAAATGAAAATATTAATATAAATAATATGAATAAAAGTTTGAAAGACTGTACGATGATAGTAACTTAATTGTGCCTTCACCCTAGCGCTCACCGCCTATAAAGCACCAAAAAAGTTCCCCAAAAGTTCTCCACACGAAGCAACGCATGAACGTCGTTGTAACTTTCCCCAACACAAAGTTGACGTAACTTGGTAAAGCGCTCGCTGAAGTTGTCAGGAACTTAAGCGACCCAACTTGAATTGGTGAAGTTGGTTCGTCTCTCACTTCGCAAACAGTTATCGGGAGCCAGAAACTCGTATCGATATTGAGGATATGGACTAGACTGAACATGTTCACAGTACTGCCGATACTCTTGTTGATATTGAGGATACGGACTAGACTGAACGTGTTCACGATACCGCAGAAAATCATGTTTCTGCGGTACTGTGTTTATAGGACATGTTTACGGTACTGCAGATACTCCTGCAGATATTGTGGAAATGAACTATACTGGACAGTCACGTGAACAGGCAGCTAACATTGGATGTTGGAGATGATGCTGCATGTTACGGATGATATTACAAGCACTAGTTGTTTTACGTGCAGACTAACTTTGTGTGCAACAGAGGATATTGCATTGACCAGCATAACAGCAATGTCAGGATGGCTCCCGCTGCGTTGTCAGCTGTTTAAGGCAATACTGCGCTAATGCAGATCCAATCACAGCTTTCAGGGCCTGCTGTTGCTGTTGTTGCGGGTGTTTCTTTTGCTACAGATGTTGTTGCTGCTGTGTGTAAATTGATGAATATGTACACTGGAAACTCTCCTTGCTATAACTTTCTGCTTGATACTGCTTAACTTTTTTGATATTCGTATAGAATAGATAGATGATATTTATATAGATTATATAGATGATATTTCGTATAGATAAACCGTTGTCAATTACTCACTATACAAAGACGTGATAACGAGAGTCAGCGTCAGTTCATGCGGTCACTGATAGTCTTCAATTGGAATCACTTTATTGCACAATCCATTCGTTAAAGTATAAACAATCCACGTGCTGGCCAAACTGATATTTCATCGAAGAAGAAGACAAAGTCTCGAGTATCAACTCCTGAATATGAGGCTTTCCTATAAAAGAGAAAAATTAATAATAATTAAACTTATGATTTGTAAACTAAGGCAGTGAATATACAAATCAAACAACGCAACACAACTAAATTACATGCATTGATTCACATCAATTTACATATCATAATTTAATAATCCACGTCAGGACCTCACACACTGCATGCCCCGCCCGGGCGTCACACCGCACAATAATCTAGCAAATCCCACCTTCCGCATTTCGACTTCCGTATAGTCTAAACTAAAATGGTGACGAACAATTTGATGAATGAATAAGGAATGAATTCCAAATAAATTTACACGCATTATAATAAAATACGAGCTTTCTTCTGTAAAATAACCCTATTCCGGGACCATTTATACTCTCTATCGTTGCTTTTTGCCGTGACATCACTTGTCACGTCTCGTTCAGGTTCATTTCGAGCAAAATATCCCGAGACGCTCGAGTCTATTGGCATCATCATAGCAAAGTCACAAAGAACGTACAATTGAAGAGAGTTAACGAAATTTCGTGCTGAAGGAGGCGTAGGATTTAACATTGCGGCACTCACTTCCTGTACCTACCTACAGGTGAACAGTCGGAGTTCAGGAGGTTGCCAGTGTGTGTGTGTAAAGTAAAAGTAAAAAAAACGTACTAATATTGTGAGAAATTTAATGAATTTTTACCAATGTAAGAGAAATATAGAGAACTAAAGAAACCGGAACACATAAATCCACGAGCTTGTTGCCTAAATAACTACGGCCACATCGCTCAGATGAATTAAGCTACAATCTATTTCAGTATACAAAGTGTAATACGATTCAATATAATGGAATGGGATAACTAAGCAGCTTACACACATCAAAGGCCTGCGTACGACAAGCAGATATGAAACTTTCCGACTACTTATTCTGGTGCTGCTCATGCTGCTGCTGCTGCTTATAGGCTGGTCCTGCTCATGCTGCTGCTGCTGCTGCTGAGGCTGATGCTGCTCATGCTGCTACTGCTGGGGCTTGTGCTGCTCATGCTGCTCATGCTGTTGCTGCTGGTGATGTGCTGCTTTTTTCTGATGTTGCTGGTGCTGCTCACGGTGCTGCATGCGTTTCTAACTAACTGATAGTTGTTGATAGACTTGAAATTTTTTTCAAATAAATGATATTTTTAATTCGGATTGAATATGTTGGCAGCTTCATAGCGTAGTTTGATCAGCGGATGTAGTTTATAATTTTTCGGGCAGAGACAAATTAAAGGCGTCCGTAAGATGAGGTGGCATTCGAATATTGTCATCCAGCGATACTTCTGCTCTACTTGAAGTTAAAACGACATTGAGGACATATGTCCCATTCAATTTTTATTCAAAAATTCTATATGAATTATTTCGAACTACTTATGCAGTCATATGTTTTATATTTCATATTTAACTCTACGGGAAAGAAAACTTACATTCAAGTAACCTTTTCCAAACCAGCGCCGAAACTCGCAGCAAATTTATAAGTTGATAGCCAAACTTTATTTGATTGTTGTAACTAAAACAGTAAATAATAGAAGTTCAGAAGGGAAATTACTCAAGAAAGTTGTACGAGGCTTGACATAACTCGGACGCTGGAAATGACGGACGCATGGGGGAAATGCCAGCGTTGCGGACACGGAAGCTTCGTCGCTGCGGCCGAGCGTCGGAGCTGTTAAAGCGGAAGCTGCGAGCATTGCTGCCCGATACCCGCCTCGCAGTGTTAGCGCAATGGCTTATATGTTATCTCAATTTATTATTTATTTTATCGAGGTACTTACGTGCTACCACCATAGCTTACTTTTCATCACAACAGCTTATTTGTTATCGCAACAGTTTTTTTTAATGCGAAAGCTTATTTTTGTAGTAAAAGCTTTTTTTAATAGTGTCACTTTGTTTGTTATCACAATATAGCGCTATTGTTATCGCATCGGCCCATTTGTTATCGTGTCACCTTGCTTGTTTTCTCACCATTCCATTTGTTATCAGTGCTTTACTTACATTACGCATAATAATATTTATATTATAATATAAATATATTATAATATAATATAAATATTATAATATCAATAAATTCCTCTCTGAGATTAATAGGATATTATGAGGCAACAAGAAGGGTAGGAAACAGTATTTACTAGAGGAATAAAATAAAACCTCGTTAATATATATGGTCATTTATTTCGGTACAGTTAATGAGTGAACGAAACGGTATGGTGCAGCAATAACGATTCATGTGACAACAAAGCAAGTTACTCGGCACCTGTTTTGACAATGGTCGCTTGCTAATATGGTTAGTGAATATACAGAGAGAGCAATCACTAGCTGAATGTAAAATTTCAGCACGTTTGTTGCACGAGACATGATTCGACTCAACTTATAACACAGTCTTCACATCGTCTCTAGGAACAGCATACCGGCACAATCTATTTCTGCATCTGCAGATCATGTATTATCACTGTTTAGAAAGCCTACACTGATTGTGCAGATAATTCAATTGAACGTGGCGAAGGGAAAAATGAACATTCTTAACAACGTCAATGTTTTTCGCCGAATTCACCTCCTTTCTGGTGCTATCTCTTCCTCTCTCATCGCTCTCATTTTAAGACTCTCCTTCTGAAATATCGCGAGTCCAATCGCAATATCAGCGCAGAACTCCAAAAAATCTGAATCCCAAACTCGCCAAGAATCAAAGCCAATAATAATTAATTGAACTATTTTCTTGAAGTAAATAACCCAATTAATTAAATTAACACTAAACAGAGTTTTTATACATTTTGCTATGCATTTTTGAAAGCAGTAGGTGTTTGTTGGGCAGCAACAGGTGTTTGCTGCCTAGCAGTAAGTGTTTGTTGAGCAGCAACAGGTGTTTGCTGCCTAGCAGCAAGTGTTTGTTGAGCAGCAACAGGTGTTTGCTGCCTAGCAGCAAGTGTTTGTTGGGCAGCAACAGGTGTTTGCTGCCTAGCAGTAAGTGTTTAGTGTTTGCTGCCTAGCAGCAAGTGTTTGTTGGGAAGCAACAGGTGTTTGCTGCCTAGCAGCAAGTGTTTGTTGGGCAGCAACAGGTGTTTGCTGCTTAGCAGTAAGTGTTTGCAGAGACAGCAAACGATTTCTGAAAGAATAGCTGACTAGTGTTTCTATTATTGGCTGAAGAGCAGGACGTCGTAGGGACATGGAAACACATGGAAATATCAGAACATTTACTGCGCCGTATTAATTAATATTGGTGGAAGTACGTGCAGAAAATAATAGTGCATGGGAGTATCTGGAGCTTCATATCGAATTTTGTTTCTAGTATTTGGGAATATTTATTGAGGTTCGATAGATTTAGCTGCGAACATAATTCAGCTGTCTATTGTAATCTCTCGGGAGATAGTTACTGGAGTAACAACGCTAGTTGGCTAAATGGTTTCGATGGTTCCAGCTATAAACGCGAGTCCCACATGGTAAAATTAGACAGTGAATACATTGATGGAAAAGCGGTCTTTCAAGCCACCCTTTCCTTGGACACTACCGGTTGGTCCAGTAGGGTCCAATCCTAAGCCATCTGGCTCAGAGAGGTCTCGCAGATGGTGGCGATAATGAGCTGGCCATCAGGTGGTGTGGTGATCCATGCGTGTCGCCCTAAGCCATCTGGCTCAGAGGGGTTTCGCAGATGGTGCCGATAATGAGCTGGTTCGGAGGCGAAGCGGCGAGTAGGAGTTTGCGATGAGTTCGCATGTAGACGCGCTGAAGAGAGCCAGTCGCCGCAGGCTCCTGAGAATCAGATAAGGCAGTGATGAAATTTGATGCTGGGTGATGATGACGCGTAATGCAGGGGTGATGATGAAGGGAATAGCAGGGTAATTAAGGTGGATATGAGGAGCAGGGTGATCCTGTGATAATAATGGTGGATAATAAGTGATCCTGTGTCATGGTAATACCTGGTGCGAAGTGATGACGATGATGATGATGTGAGGAGTTGGATTCGTACGATGATAAATGGATTATTACCTCCCTAACCGACCCAGGATAAATGTGGTATTGATTACACATCAAAGGTCATTTCAACGAATTAAATATGGTAAAAAACGTTTTTATATTCCACATAACATTGTTTTTACGTTTCGCCGATGATCGTTCCCACAGCAGTCCTGTCTATTCTCAGCTATTTTGCAAAAGCTCTTACCCATTTCATTCGATCTACTTCACCATAATAATTGAGCTGGTACATCAGTATTAACCTCATTTACGTTTTCGTGTGGCTCGTTCCAACATCATTCACTACTGTTCTCATTCTTGTGTAATGGTTATACTAGCACTTTCATCACTCACGTCGCCTATGTTTGATTGATGCTGCAGTCGTCTTACGTTGATCTCACAAGACCTAATTTAACGCTTGGTGAGCCCTGAGCGTACGAATTAACGTAAGTGTTTTAAGTGGCTGAATACTTAAGGTTCCTAAGGGACTATATGGTGGGGTTCCTATCTCGATCATGCATTTTGATATTCATGTTGTTCTTGGAAATTCATTTTGCAAACTGAAGAAACTAGCATTTACCGAGCACTTAGATATCTCCTCTTAATTAAAAAAATTACTAAGGTCAAAAACGATGAAATTATTAATTAATATAATTTGATTCGTCCTATACTCACCATTCCAACAAAAAAAAAAAGGAATTGATTTTATTAATTAAAAACAGGGAATGGTTTCATGTCAATGATCAGGGCCCCGACCTTAACGCCTCTGATGGTGGCCTACACCGACTCCGAGGGTCACCGAGCTGTGACGCGAGCGAGGAGCGGGCCCACGTCGAACTTTTCTCTGACTGCTGTTAGGATGCTAGCTGCATTGCCTCTCTGCACAGCCAAACCCAACCTTTGCTCCAACCATAGAGTCTCTCTACGTTCGCCGGACAATTCCGTAATGCGACGGCCAATCTCTGATATTAAAGGACCAGTCGTTTCACCATATGTGCCCGTCGTTTCTAATGCGACTGGCTCGAAACGATACCGAGCTGCCAACGCCGCGTATTTACGTCTCTTGCTATCCTCCGCCGCACGAGCCGCGAACCCAGCAGAAATAGCCGAATTATTGACGTGCGACTCAGCAAAAGTGTCGACGCAGGTTGCATCCCAGCACAAACACCTCCCATTAGAAAACGGGAAAACCGTTAAGCCATCTGGTCTCTTACCATCCCCTCTGTCCACTCCAGCGGGTTCAAGGCATGAAGGAACGCCAGCGCTCTGAAGAGCCCTCCTGATCACATCGTTCAGAGCCGAGTGTCTTGGATGTCGCCCAGCGCTGTACTTACAAGAAAGGCCATGCAGTCCTCGTGCATCCATCCGCTTTCCGCACCGACAAGTGTGGGGTTCGCATACATTTGCGCCAACTCGAAGAGCAATAGAGACGCGGAAGGAGTCGGGATCTAGAAGTGTTCCAAGAGCATTCGAAGGAATAGCGTGAAGCCACAAGCCACTCTCTCTCTTCGCCGCCGCAAGTAGACGAGCCCTGGATATTTGGTCCGCCGCTTCCAAAAGCCGCGCCGCAGAGGCCGCGGCCACAGGCCCATCCCAAGTCCTCTGCCGGCACAAACTCGCGTCCTCGGGCAAAGCAATACCTGCGTTCCCATTGCGCCACTCATCCACCGCCATCCGCAAACTGTCGTCCTCGGCCAGTCGTACATTATGTAAAACAGCATCAACTAGGCCACGGACGGAGTGGAGTGACGATATGAACGCAGGGAGCGCGATGTCCTTTGACATACGGATACCCAGGCCTCCCAGCCGGACCGGCAACACAGCTTGTTCAAGAGATTCGCGCTCGAAGCTGACATTGGTGATGGTCGAGAGGGCAGAAACCAACACCTCATCGAACCGCTCCAAATCACCTACCCGCGTATATGCAGGAGACGCACGCAGGACGTACTGGAGTTTAGGTAGAGCGAAACAATTCTTTAAAAGCGTAAATGCTTGATGACTATCAATTAATTTTAAACGCTGCACCATCCTCTCCAAGCCCTCCCGCTTCTCCCTTTTTTTTTTTTGTTGGAATGGGGGGTGGGGGGGGCCTTTTAAAAAAAAAAAAAAAAAAATTAGTCCTATTAATCTTTGACGTTCACGGCGTCTCTCATACGTAGAACGTTTTAAATGTTTAATATTGATAATCTACGTGAAACGAGTATGCAGCTACGTATAATGAGTTGTTGGTATTAGAAAATTCTGCGTTTTTTACCACTGAACTTTGTCAAACTTCAGTTCACTTAGCAATAGACTACAACGTCGTTTTTTTGTGAATTTGCAAGCCTTTGTACTTATAAAGGTACAATAAAGAGTACGGTGAGTACCTACTACAATTATAAACTACTCTTGATATTCGGTATCCTACTAAATCCAATGCAAATTCGCTTTGGTATATCCAGGTTTCCAAACATTGCATTTTAATAATACTCACGCACAATTATTGTTCCCACACGATAGATATCTCGCCGACAAATACCTTTTCGTATTACTTACGTATCAAGTCGCACCTGGTAAATATGTTGAAATGCAAGTGTCTGGTCTAAAAACTAGCTGGTAAACACCCGCTGGGACGCACCTGCTCATAGGCAAGTCTAGTGGTGTTGAGGTTGATGGCCCACAGCGGAGTGCCGGACGGGACGGGGGTGCCGGCGTTCAGCCAGTGCGCCGTCGTGCTACCGGCCTCCAGCTCAGCACCCACCCAGTAGTCGTGTCGAGTCAGCCCTGCTCGCCATTCATAATGCGTTCAGAATAATGATTTTCTGCACTATTAATTATTAATATTATTAAAATATTTTTAATGAGTATAGATTTCATAATAAGATAGAATGTTTCTGGCTCTAGCCTCTAACATGCTTCTCGACATAGCGCAGCATTGCCCAAAATTTTTACTAGTGTTGAACAACCTTCCCTGGCCGCCCTTGCTACTCGATCGTAGCGCAGTATCGTCCTGTAACGTCACAATACTTGTTCCCACCTTGCTGACCCGAGGTGGTACAGTTTTGTCAAATAGTTTTCCTTGCTGATTGCACCACACCTCTTGGTCCTACCTTGCTGCTCGAGGTAGCGTAGTATTGTCCAGTAGCATCACAATCTGTTTCCACCTTGCTGTCCCCGAAGTAGCTCAGTTTTGTCGAATAGTTATACTAGCGGATTGCACCACTCTTCTTGGACTTACCTTGCTGCTCGAGGTAGCGCAGTATTGTAAAGTAGCGTCACAATCCCTGTTTCCACCTTGCTGCCCCCGAAGTAGCTCAGTTTTGTCGAATAGTTATACTAGCGGATTGCACCACTCTTCTTGGACTTACCTTGCTGCTCGAGGTAGCGCAGTATTGTCCAGAAATCGTTGGCATCCTCAAACTCGAGCATCGAACTTCCCAGCCGCCTACACACGTATTGCATCTCATCGTGTGTACCTGTAAATAAGAAGAAATGTGTTCATGTCCTTCGATGTCAATTAAAATGTTTGCGTGCCTGTAAATCAGGAGAGGAAAGGTGTTGCGTGTCGATAATAGCCTGTTTACTGAACTCTGTATGATAAGCACTGCATGTCTACTAACTCATTAAAAGCACATCATTCCGCTCACAACTGGAGTCGCGCCAACACTCGCCTTTATTGAATAACTCCACGACGATGCACTTTTCACCAACACGATCGAAAGGCAAAGAACATTTTCCTATTGGTTGCGTGGTGGTTGGTGTGCTAGCAGTCGTTTTGCTAGTAGTCGTTGTGCTTGCAGTTGTTGTACTTGCAGTCGTTGTGCTCGCAGTAGTTGTGCTTGCAGTAGTTGTGCTAGCAGTCGTTGTGCTTGTAGTTGTAGTGGTAGCGCAATTAAGTTCGTCCTCCCCGCTGGGGCAGTCTTCATAACCATCACACTTCCAACTGCTGGGGATGCACAGTCCGCTGCGACACTCGTATCCAGACGTACAAGAGCCTGCACAGCATCAATGTTTACGTCACCAAACAGCCCACAATGGTATTAGGCACATTGATCGGTGTTAAATAAACGAGGTAAAAACTTTTCATTTTACTCAATTAAATTTTAGCCGTCTATGCATTATCGGAGCTGTGGATTACACCTTCATTACAATTTTTACACTTAATATTTTAATTTATAGGTTCCCGATAAATAACTATCGGTCTCCTAGAGCAAACCACCCAAATACGAGAGATGAATTACGCGAGACATCTGCAGCACCCAGCCCTATGCCAGGTGTACGCGGGTCTTGGGAGATGGCACGCTTGATATCATACTAATTGAACATTTTAACGTTACAATAATGACATAGAATAGAATAGAAGTGTCGGCGTTGAAGACATAGGCCCATGGCCTGTTGCCGATTCTTGAACTTTTCGTGACTTGATTCACAAGGGATCCGGCCTTTGGAACCCGATCTTTCCATAACTGACGATTGATTGAGATAGCTGCTGGACTTATTGCCTGCTCCGTAATTTGCTAGGCATTTTAAGACCTGTCTCTTATACACATCTAGATGTGTATAAGAGACAGCTCTAAAGGGGTAGCATCCTTCTTAACAAAGACTGAATTAAACTCTGGGAATTCACTTAGTTTTCTCGCAGCCTTAAGCACATTTCCGACCTGGGCTGTATCCTGCACAGTTACAAGCACCGGTCTACAGGTGGTAGTGTCTTTTGATCGCAGCCTCTTGCATGCCGTTATATTCACAACGACGTTAAGTGCATTGGCACAGCAATCAGTAATAAATTCAGCATCTGAAGCATTGCTTTCGGGAACGTTAAACCAAACAAGGTTAAGTCTTCTTCTCTCTCTATCCAGCAGTTCACGACTGCTCTCGTTGCCGAGATCAGAGATGACCTCTTTGCGGCCTTTACCTTCTGCGTTATCGCTATTTTCTGTTTTGTGCAGATGAGCTTTCATTTCCACAAGCTCGTTTCGTAACGAGTGTAATTCGCTACGCAACAAGCTCAATTCTTTCTTGTGGGTCTCCTCCATTTCGGCTCTCTTTCAAAACTCTTGCTTGTTGGTTTCTTCAATTTCGGCTTTAAAAACAGAAAACATAGAAGAGCACTTCTCTTCCACCATTTTTTCGCTTTTTACAGCGCTAAGTGCAGGTTGTTGGCAGTCCTGACAGTACCAGTGTACTGACTTGTTTTTACGAATGACCGAGCAGTCAGTCTTGCTTAACTTTGCACAGTTGTTGCAGATGGTATCCCCGCAACGATCGCAGGCTACTGTAGCGTCATTGACGTTAAGCGATCCCAGCTTGCAAAATTTACAAATTTCTCCTCGCTCATTTTGCAATTTGATCTTCGAATTCGGTTTAACAGGACTGGAGGCCTTCTCATTTAATTTTTTTTCCTCTCTGACCAGCCATCATAAAATGCAAGAGCCAAAGAAAAAACACAATTTAAAACTGAAACAAGTTAAGTAAAAATTGTAAAGTTTCAAAGGGCTGTAAAAACTCAGTTACAGACTTGAGAATAAGCGGCTTGCAGATGCAAGAGCTAGATAAACACAAGTTAAAAACCGAAATCAAGTTGAGTAAAATTTGTACAAATTGTTACATTGTTCAAAATTGTTACAGACTTGAGAGCAAGCGGCTTTCCGAGAGCGGCGATCACAGCGGCTAGGAAGAGGTAGGCGCGAGAACAAAGGCTTATTGTCCCGCGTGGTCCAGGGCGTGGGCGTTTCCCTCGCGCGGCAACCCTCACTGACTCTACTGGTCCGCGTTATTTGAAAATGAAAACACTTTCACTTGTTTGGCTTGTTCATTCTATTTGCACTCACTTTTACTGACTTCACTGAACTGAACTGAAATTCGGTTATTCACTGGCACGGATCATAAAAAAATGCGAAAAGAGTTCCGAAAACGGCACAGTAAAAAGTTAAAAATTTAGAAATTTAGAATTTAGAAATTTAGAAAAAATTTAGAAATTTGGAATTTTTGGAAAAAATTTAGAAACATGGAAGATGATTTTGAAATTTCTTTAGTATCGATCAAATCCTTTGGTTGTTTGGAGCTGATACATGTGATAGAAGTCATTTTAGTGTTCTAGAAAGTTTTACTTGTCGTAGTGGACGGAGTGGTTGTAGATGCAACACAGTTTCCTTCGTCCTCCCCATTGGAGCAGTCTTCATAACCATCGCACACCCAACGGCTGGGGAGGCATAGTCCGTCCGGGCACGCGTACCCAGACGTGCACGAGCCTGTCACAGTGTACAGCATCAATAACGTCACCAAATTATCCACAAAAGTGTGACGGCATACATTGTTTGTATGATAATTCTCTGTGTGATATGATTTACTGAACTTACATGTTATTTTCTTTACCATATTCTATACTAGTATTTGAATGTGAATAAAAAGTGCGCGAATATTTTAACTTTGTGACTAAGACATGGAATCTGAACTCACAGCGATATTATTTACCTGCTTGATAGGATTAAGTAACAAGGGTAATAGGGCGTTGCTTAACGTCTTGTCGCGCAATTGTGATCTCACAAGTCACACCATCTCAGGGCACTTGCTTAAGGTACGAGATTCTCAAACGGGGCAGGAATGTGTTCTTATCTAGCTCCAGCTTCTGTCTGCATGTTGATGCTGATTGTACCCGCACCAATCGCACTATTCATGTCGTGAGTGCTGGAGCCACCTACGTTCGAGCATATTTGTCCTCATTTTCATGTGCCTCTTACCCACACCACTTGCTTTCCTCAGCGGCATGCCGAGGCATGTAAATTCAGGAGCTTTGTCTATCTTTTAGCGTTTCGTGTGGCTCGTACCTTTATCATTTGCTGTCTAACAAGCCGCGTTTTGCTGTAGCTCATACTCACATTACTCTATTCTCTGCAGCATGTCATACCTCGGTAGTTTTGAACGAGTTAAGGCGTTTCGATGTGGCTCATACCCGCGCAATAGCAACCTTGCATCCTTTTGATGCTTGTACCCCGAGTTTATAATTCTGTCCCTTTGAACTGTCGCTTGCCAATAAAGATAACAAGTATCTACTCCATTTGAATTCGTGTGCCATTGTATGGAGACTCGTGTATCATACTTGCATGAAGATCATCAGTGTACAACGAAGAGAGTCCACATTGTGTTCATTTCATCCCCCTCTAAACTCAAGGGAGTTTAAAACTCAATTAAATGGTCACTCTTTAGCCCTTGCGTTCGAAGTCAATACATAGAAACTCAGCAAAATCGAAACGCTACCCTAACTATTTCTAAAGCAGAGGGGTTTCCGGCTATAATAGTACAAGACACGATGAAACAGTCAGGGGGTTGCTGAACGAGTTAAAAATAGTTTTTTTACCTAATTGAATTTGTTTAATCATTTATACATTATTGAAGTTATTGTTTCCGATTTCTTTCCAATTTTTTCTCCAAACATTTCTATTTGTAGCTTGCCGATGACTGACCATCGGTCACCCACAGCAAACGACGTTTGAGTACCAAATTACAAAAGTCTGCTGTAGCACCCAACCCCACGCCTGGAGTACTCTGAATAATTGTTAGTCATAGGAGATCGCACTCTTGCATGTTATCATAATTGGGCGTTTCTAAGTTACGTTGACATGAAGAATGATTTTGAAATTCCTTCAGTGTCAATCAGATCGATATGTCGTTTGGAGCTGCTACTTATACATGTGATAATGGTTGCTTTAGTGGTATTGAAAGTTTTACTTGTCGTAGTGGGTGGAGTGGTTGTAGATGTATAACATTTTTCTTCGTCCTCCCCGTTGGTGCAGTCTGGATAACCATCGCACTCCCAGCGGCTGGGGAGGCATAGTCCGTCTTGGCACAGGTACCCAGACGTACACGTGCCTGTATAGCATCAACAAGTACATCAGTAAACTTTGCATTTCGATACTTTGACAGGAATCAACGGTATGAGGAAAATATGCGCACATACGTCATTAATTCACTAGAAGGGGCATTTCGGTAATCTATACCATAGTCTAGAAACTATTTTTATTCGACTTCCTGACGACTAAATTTTAGTCTCTGCGTTACTTTCGGCGAATTTCGTCTGTTCGTAATCGTTCCGCAGCTAGAGCTAACTGCACCATGAGCGCGCGCATTCATTTAAAAGCTTCAGACCATGCAGGCACAGCTTGCCCGTCGTGTGTAGCGTTAGGTTGTAGGTGCTGAGTGATTACGAGTATAGAGGTGAAGGTGATCGAAGTATCTAGTTCAAGTATTTTGGAGCTTTTGAAAACGGGTAGTGTTTTGATGAGGCGTCTAGGAGGAATGTGAGTTGATTGATGAGCTAAAGTTGAATGCTATAATGGCGGACTATGTTCTACGCGCTTGTTGGTGAAGGACTGGTGAGATGGTGGAGATGCCGCTGTGTTTATGTAGAGATTGTGAAGTTATAGAGTCTTAAGAGTGTTTGTTTGCGATGGAATTTTTTTGCTTGTCCTGGATTCTCTGCAGTTTGGATTTTGCTGATTTTGACAAGATTTATTGGGGCATTTGAAAGTAAATGAGAGACAATCAAACAAAGTTAAGGTATTAGGCGCGTTTTGTGTTTGTCGGGAGGTGTTAAAATCTGTATAGTTTGAGATTAATGAGAGCTATCTCATTCGTGACAGATAGTTAATTCGTGACAGATAGTTAGGAGCTATCTCATTCGTTAAACTGTAGATTAATGAGAGCTATCTCATTCGTGTCTTTTACTTGGGACCTAAAACCGTGTGATTGTTCCTTTGTGTAAAGATAGTGAATGTTGCATATGAATATGTCTGATGGTGTGCATCCAGTTATGGGAATGATATTAAATTTAGTTGTGTTGGTGAGCTATTTGTTTTCGAATGTATTGTTCATATGTTCGGCTTATTGTATTTTGAAGGCTGCGTAGTTGTGTTGTGTTGTGTTCGGGTGTCATCTGCAAAAACTATTTAAGGAGAAAAGTGTTGAGAAGTAAAGCAGAAGGTCTTGGTTGCAGTAGCTGTAAAGAGTGAGAGAGAGACAAGCCCCTTGAGGAACACATGTGTGGAGTTGTAATGAAAGACCTACGTGATTGCCTATTCTGATGGATGCTCTTCTCTCAGTGAGGTTGTCTGAAAGTAATTTTGTAGAGGACAGGCAGTGATTGGGTTGTGCGATTCTGTACTGTAATACGGTTTGCCAAACCTTGCCGAAGGCTTAGTCACATCGCGTAGCGCCTAACTTTACACAGGGACAGAGGCACGATAAAAGTGGAAAGTCAAACTTTCCTAGTGACACGCAATTACTAATACGCTGTTGGTCGAAGAGGCTGGGAATGAGTACTAGGCTACCAAACATAGTGAACCAATTAAGTTGCCAGAAGGGTAACTATATAGGTTGCCTGAGGTTTTAGAACCGGACTACGTGAGCCTGCTGCAACATCCAACTCCACGCCAGCGTATACGACTTTCCATAATAGTCAGCCGTAGGGGATGGCACTCTTGATATCATAATTTCGCGTTTCTAACGTTACATTGCCATGATGAATGATTTAGAAATTCTTTTATTATCAATCAGATCGAATTGTGGTTTGTGTGGTTGAATAGGTTAGGTTTTTAGAGGTTATTTAGTGATCTAATAAGTTTTACTTGTCGTAGTAGACTGAGTGGTTGTAGATGCATCACAGTTTCCTTCGTCTTCCCCATTGGTGCAGTCCGGATAGCCATCACACTCCCAATTGTTGGGCAAGCATATTCCATCCTGGCACAGGTACCCAGACGTGCACGAGCCTGTATTGCATCAACAAGTACATTAGTAAACTGCACACAATAGCAATATGATACTCGATATAATATAATATATAAGTACGAGTACGTCATTAATTTACGAGAAGAGATATTTTGCTAATCTATTCCCCAGTCCAGAGACAATTTTTAGTAGATATCGTAAATCTATTTCTTGCATCTTCAGGAAATTATCCATTTCTTGCATTTTTAAACTGAGTCTCCATGCTCTCATATCACTAGGTTTGTTTCAATCATTTGCCGAGGTGGTACGCGCAATTCAGATTTGGTGCATTTGAATGGATTTAGAATGGGGATACACAAATCATCCCCATTGTTCTTGAAGTGGCACTCTTGATATCATAATTTCGCGTTCCTAACGCGTTCAGCGCAGTTTCATGAACCACTAAGAAAAAGTGGTAAAGAACAACAGGTAACACAGAACGGCCAAAATGAGGAAGGAGAACTGGAAACGACAGTAGGAGATGAAAAAGACGCATAACGAAACTAAGTGATTCTATGTGTATGTAGGTCTAGTTGTGAGGGTACGGTGTGCTGTGATAGTGCTTGCGTTGTATAGGAAGTTGGCTCTACATTGAAGGGTCTGCTGGGACGAATGGATATTTATATGGGGTTGGCAGAAATTGTGGTTATAATTGAATTGTCTCATGACGATGTGCTGGGCGCTTGTTGAAGGTGCATCAAGTGAAATGACTTGTTATTGGCTATCACTAGTGATGTTGTATGACTTGTGATAATGAGCCGATATGGGTGCACTTGTATATCTTGTTATGAGTGAGTGTAATTAGTTGCATATGCGGTTGTAGGAGGATTTCCCTAGTGTTGTATACCAAGTGTGCGAGGAGGAATAGGATGGCTCCTATTCAAAAGATTATGGAAATATATGTAATTGTAGCCTCAGCTTCAACGCATCTCGATCGTGTAGCATTTCTTTGTTTGAGTAGTTTTCAGTATCCCTCCGTCACCACGTATCACTTTTGATCTCATCGTTGTCCAGTGCGGTACGGTGTGGAGATGCTAGACGTTTATATTGTAATAGTATTGAGCTAAAATATCTGATTTTAATTTTTACCTGCAGGTAATACTTTTGCAGATTTTTTTGCAAAGCTAATTTTAACCTGTGGCTACGGCTAGAGGCCCATGACTGTGGCTGTGGCTTGAGGCCTGTGACTGTGTTGACGAACATTTCTTTCTGTACTAAGTTTTTTGCGTTCCGTTTAACCCACTTTTAATTGCCATGCTCTTGTGCGAATTAAACAATAGTCAGGAAGCGTGAAGACCATCGCATTGGATGGTTAGCAACCAACAATAAGCTGAATGATTGTTTTAGCGGTTATAATAGACTCTTTTGGTATACGGAGGGTATGTATAGTTTTCCTATCCTGATGGGACCTTGTTTAGTGCACATTGTAAGTATATACACGAGCACGTCAGTGTAAACAGTGTCGCATAATTTTAACTGTAGATTTCGTTTTATTGCTTTGGCAGTAAGGGAGTGAAGTGTACGGTCTTTATTGCAGTTGTGAGCATTTTAATGTAATATCTTAAGTGGAGGTGTTGTCATCTGTGATGGAGATAGTGATCGGTGATGAGTGTTATGTCTTGGTCTATGAGATTTTAGATGTTTGCTAGAGTGCATCTGTGGCTGTGCCAGTTGTGGACATTGTATTGTATTATATTTAGCGAGTACTGGAGTCTCCTTGTATCTTTGTGTATACTGATTGATTGTGAATTGTTTGATTTTTATCGCTTGTCATTTCAGGTTATTTTGCGATTAAACTATTAAACTAATGACATGAGTACACGATATGAACGAGTCTACGATGACACGATATGGTCTCATCTGGCTCACTAATGCAACGAGAGCAAAAAACTTTTGAATTTATGATAATAGATCTGGTCTAGTTTGATAGTCAGCATCCATATTGAAACAATATCCCTATGCAAGGCAATTCACTAAACAACTCAAGAAAGTCATCATTCGTCTCTTGTTCCGTGCCCTGCAAGACCTCTCTCGTTTTGCTGAATGTGTTAAATTCCGTTTGTCCCGCAACTGTTACTGACATCTTTCGTTGTGCAAATTATTAAATTATTTCGTTGTGCAAATTAAATTCTGCCTCCACCCACCAGGTAAGAAGTTTGCTTTAGTGCCCAAAGTTTTAGCCAAATCTGAAAATTTCGGGCTGAATGGAGTCTGTCGCGACTTGACCTAATCCCTAAATAACCATAATTCTGAAGCTGATTATGACTAATACTTCTGAATATTTGATCATAAAAAATATCAAGCTCATCAAACTTAGAAGAAATGCTTGATCAAAAATTACCATATGATTTTTTTTTGTATTTGTGTAAATCATGAAGTTGATCGATTTATATAGATGCACGAGAGACTGAAAGAAATATTCCTGTAAATCCCAAATTTAAAATTACCCCTTTACTAAAAATCACTGTCATTAAGTCCTTTACCCTAACAAAATTTAGAGTCGCCCCAGCTTCTGGTAATCCATATCAGAAGCTGATGTGGATGTAAATTTTTACTGGGTATATAATTAAAATTTTGACGAAATTCTGATCCTGAGGTCTCTGTTGAGTGCTTCTGATCCCAAATAACTCATGTTGCCAATAAATTAATTTCAATTTCATGCGCAAAGTATTTTTAATCCCGGGTATTAAATTAACACACGTTTGGCTAGAGAATACTATTGAAATTTTTTGCGATAACTTAGAGTAGCAGTTTCAATTAGAGCTTCATATTCCAGACAATGAAATATAGATGCTTGCGTATTGCATGAAAATTATTTCTGTTCTCGCAGACGTGCTTGACTCACAATTTATTTCGTCCTCGCCACTGTTGCAGTCCTTCGACCCATCACACACCCACGAGTTGACGATACACTTTCCGTTCAGACATTGGTAGGATCCTGGCGGGCAATCCCCTGCACAGTAACATTTTAACAAAGTGTGCGTCAGCTAATAACCCTGGCAGGTAATCTCTTGTACAGCAGCAATGTGTGCTTCAGCTAAGAACTCTGGCAGGCACTCTGTGTGCGTCAGTATAGATAAACAAGAACATTTTAAGATTGATATTCCATTTACGAACGAGTTATCATGAGTCAACGTAGTAAAAGAATCCCACAGGACTATCAATTGCGTTTCCCAATCAAAGCCGTAAGGCTTGTAGTCAAAATGCAGCGAAGTCTGAGAGCGAGGTTTTCGCGACCATCGTGTAAAATCCTTGATCTGCCCAAAGCTCGGCCAGTCGCCGCTACCCTCGAGCTTAGTAGTATATTATAGTATAGTATCTTCGTCATTTAAAGGATAGGCCTGGATAGGCCTGTCGCCGATTCTTGTACTTTTCTTGACTAGACTGGCCTTTTGATCAGATCTTTTCAACGGACGGTAGATTTAAAATAGCTTCTAGATATCAGTTGTTCCGTAGGGTACGAGGCATTTTAAGACTAAACATATGCTCATGCATGGCCTTGTCTAGTCTGTTCTTGAACGCGTTCATACGAAACATATGCTCATGCATGGCCTTGTCTAGTCTGTTCTTGAACGCGTTCATACTCGGAGCGTCAACAATATCTTCATGGAGGCTGTTCCACATGTCGGTGACTCGAAGCGAGAAGAAATGTTGTCGCGTGGATAAGTGGCACCGCAGTCTTTTTAGTTTATAGCTGTGGCCCCTGGTGTTGGTTCTTGTTTCAAATTCTAGTAATCCTTCTGGGACCTTGTACAAACCATGAGTATACTTGTATACTTCAATGAGGTCACCACGCAGGCGACGATAACGGAGGCTGGGAAGCTTCATAATCTTCAATCTTTCTTCATAAGACTTACCCTTTAATCCTGGGATTATCCTTGTTGCACGTCTTTGAACACTCTCAACTAAATTTTTGTCCTTTTCAAGTCTCGGTGACCACACAACGTTTCCAAACTCTAGGTTCGGGCGCACGACAGAGGTGAACAACAGCTTCATCATTTCTATATCTAGGTACTCGTAGGAGCGTCTGAATGACACTACTTCTGGTAGATCGTTTATGAAAGCGACGAACAAAACAGGTCCAAGAACGCTTCCTTGCGGTACGCCACTGCGCACAGTTACCCAGTTTGATACGGTTCCGTTAATGCTGACACGTTGTCTTCTGCCTACTAGGAAATTCCTGATCCATTGGAGTACATTTCCCTCTATTTCCAGAGAATTCACTTTACGTAACAGTCGCTCATGCGGAACACTATCAAATGCCTTGGCAAAATCGAGGTACAGGGCATCCACTGGCACCCTTTCGTCCAGCAGGCGAGTCCAAATATTCAAGGTAGACAGGAGATTAGTGGTGCATGATCTGCCAGCAATAAAGCCATGCTGACAGTCTGATAGAAGATGATTAGTGGTGCATGATCTGCCAGCAATAAAGCCATGCTGACAGTCTGATAGAAGATGGTTAACAGTCAAGTGATCTATAATCCTATCCCTCATAACCGATTCCATCACCTTACACACAACACTTGTGAGACTTACAGGACGGTAATTACCTGGGTTACTCCTGTCACCTTTTTTGAACAGGGGTGTCACTTGAGCTTCTTTCCAGTCGGCCGGCAAAGTCCCTTCGATTAAGGTTTTTCGAAAGAATACTGTTAAATTAGAGCTTCATATTCCAGACGTGCTTGTGTTAATATGATATCCTAGCCAGACCCTTCTTCGGGGTAACTGGTCGCTTTCAGGTGGCCGAGGAATGGCCAACGGTCGGCTATAACTAATTGGACTAGGTCGACCACTGGCCACGTATTATTCTTCACCCCTCATTGACTTCGCCTTTACCATGCCACCCGTCGTGAACTGACAGTTGAGTAATTTACTACGTCTCTTTCCCTTCAAACATTGCAAAACGTCTCCATTTGAGCAGCTAGTATGCGGGATTTTCCCTCCGCGTATCAGCAGACTCGATCATAACTATTTTTCGGTAGAAAATATCTACAACAAGGAGGCTGATAAAGGAATGCCGATAATACCATTCAATGGAGAATAAAAATTACAACCCGTTTACATCTCGAAAAAAGTAAAAAAGTCGCAGACATGATGAACAATAATATTCAAAGTTTCTTTAAATTTCCTCTCATTGAAATTTCCTCTCATCTCATCTCACCTCTCTTTAAATTTCCTCTTCAGTCGGTGACGCGCCTCATCTTAACCAAGTAACCAAGTAACATATTTTTTGTTACTGGTCGACGCTTATAAATAAATAGCTGGGTAAGTATGGAAAAATCCATATCACCATCTCATTTGCGAGTGGAGTAAAGTCTATCCTAATTAGTGAAGAAACGCATAGGGAAGAGCCGAGCCTGTTCGCAGCCGCTCGGTTCTCAATCAGGGCCTTAAGGCCAGTAGTCACAGTGCGGCGAAGTCCGTGAGCGAGAAATTCGCGACAAGGACGTTGAACCCTTGTTCTGTGTTCAGATCGGAAAGTTGCTGCGCTCGAGCTTGTTGCCTTTGTAATATGATACCTGAGCCAGCACCCATCTTACGGCTGCGGCCGTCTCTTAGGTGGCCGAGGAATGGCCTGCGGTCAGCTAGAACTAACTGGCCTCGGCCGACCACTGGCCATCCATTATTACTCGACCCTCATTGTGCTCCTATTCACCACAAGAGTGACAGGCGGGTAATTTACGTGGTGTATTTCCCCTCATTTTTTCCCCAACTCCTTCATGAGAACTACGACTTCCAAAGAAAATGTGAAATCTGCGATTTAGCAGTAATGAAAAAATATTTTGTTAGAAAATATCTACACAATAGAGGTTGATTCAGATATGTCTCTAATACCGATCATTAGAGAATAAATAGTACTACATCCTTGTGTCTAACAAAATTAGGTAAGTCGCATAGTATAATGAACCTTGATTGATCGATGTACAACCTGTTCCTCTATCATAACTAATGCTAGACAAAATTTACATATTTTTTGCTACTGTAGAGAAATTGTGAATAAATAGCTTAATAAGCATGACATAATTCAGATTGATATTTCATTTACGAGCAGAGTTATAATGACTATAAGTAGTGATAGATTCCCATGGGTATCCAGCCAAGCCTGCCTGAGGGCTCGCGGTTCTCAGTCGCGGCCTTAAGGCTCTGGTTGAGAACCGCAGGCTAGGCTGGAACCCTATGGGATTCTATCACTACGTTAACTCATTATTACTCTGATCGTAAATAAAACATCAATATGATATTTTTCCTGCTCATTCAGCTATTTATTTACATTTTCTACAGTAATAAAAAGTATGCTAAGTTTGTATAACATCAGGTATGATAGAGGAAAATGTTGTACAATGTACATCGATGTTCATTATTTTACATGCGCATTACCTAAATTTATGAGACATAGGGAAGTAGTAGTATTTATTCTCCGTTGATCGGCAGTAAATTTTGAGATATTTTTCATCAAAAACTAGTTATATACGAGCATATTCTCGTGTGGAGGGAAAATCCCGTATACTAACTGTTCAAATGCAGGGGTAGTGGAAGGTATGAGGGGAAACAGACGTTGTAAATTAATCACCCGTCAGTCCACGACGGGCGGTACGGAGAAGGGGAACTCTATGAGGGGCAAGAAATAATACGTGGCCAGCGGTCGGCCAAGGCCAAGTAGTTCTAGCTGACCGCTGACCATTCCTCGGCCACCGTTAACGAGAAAAAAGAGGCTGGCTAGGATATCATATTACAAAGACTACGAGCACGAGGGTAGCACTGGCCTAGCTTAGAACCGATCGAGGATTTCACACGCTTGTCGCGAATACTTCTATCTCAGACTTCACCGGACTTTGACTACCACCCTAAACGTCTGAATTACTGGCATTCGATCACTCACCAGTTTTAGGATGAGTAAAACTGCTAGAATTTCTCGCAGCTGCTGCGGCTGCTGTCAGCAGTAGCAGCAGTTTGGCCAACGAGCTTCCTGCCATTTCTGTTGGGAAATTAAGGGAGAGTTAACGGTGGCCACAATACACCACAGCTTTCTGTCATCCTCAATANTTAGAATAATTGATTTAATGAAATATTTACAATATTGACGTATCATTTATGATGCTGAAATAAACAGCAAACTTAATTTCTATAAAATTAATATGCCCTGCTGTCGCAGCCACAAGGCCGCTGTCAAGGCGCGAGAGAAGCGCGACAGAGCAGAATTGTCCGATTTATAGAGACGCTGCAGCTCCTCCCTGGTCAGACGCTGCTTTAACTGCGCTTTATTCATCAGCTATGGCGAGCTTCATGTTAATTGTAGCGGCGCAGCAGCTACTGAGCATCTGCTCAAATCGGATCAACACATGCGCCGAGTTGGTTATAGCAATGGAGCTTGAATTATTTGTCTTCACCGATTTAAAGAATCATATTGTCGAGATCGTTGATGCTAAACTCGTACAGTGAATGATATTACATTTAGTAGAATTAATCGATAATTACACAAGATGTCAGATCACAACATGTTCTGATTGTGTTCGATTACATATTACGTTATTCCTCACTAGCCGAAGAATAAGTTGCACTCCGGTGGTCCAGCTAATGAAAATATGAATGATGTATACATAAGCTCGTACCCTCTTAAGATCCGTAAAATTCCAAACGTAATTAATATATTATGATTACAAAATTACATTTAATTCTATTCACGTTGTGTTATTTGTTTAATTGCAGTTGAAATGTCATTTAGAACCAGTAGATCTCCGCTACTCATCTTTCACATATATGATGTTACGTCAGTCTTTTTCTCGGCTTGTATCTCCTCGGTCGTTTGAATAACCTACGAACCGCTCTACCCTTTAATTCCACCCCCTACGGAATAAACTTTTGTCTCGACAATCTAAGGAAGCTAGAGAGACCGTTAACGGTAGTCATCATTTCTCAAGTAACTCCTCACTGTACCGTAAATAATAATCTCTTAATAAATTATTATCCAGCGCCTCATAAATAATCGAGCGTCCTCTCAGAACAATTAAAAAAACTCGCCAGTTGCAGGAAAAAATAAAACTAACAAAATTCATTGATACAAATTAATTTAATAATTTGAAGTAGTAAAATAATGGACTATAAATGCCTCAGGAGCGGTTTCGTCGCTTGATGCAGTGAAGGCCGGGGGGCGCTGATAACTCCAGAGGGCGACGTAATCTTGATAGTCCATCCCATGTTTCCCGCTCCGAGCCATCTAGCTGAGAGGGGCCTCGCAGATGGTGCCCATCATAAGCTGGTCAGGAGGCGCAGCGGCGAGCAGTAGGTTGCGATGAGCTCGCATGTAGACACGACGAAGAGAGCCGCTCACCGCAGGCTCCTGTGAACCAGGCAGGATAGCAATCAACAATTTTAAATTACATTGCACACAAATAATAATCTCATTGAACAAATCTGCAAAAGTACAAGTAGTTACTTGGGTTATTCGCTACACCTTTTCCCCCACGTCTAGGTTACTGTCACAAATGTGACCGGCATGATGTGGTCCCCTCTTAAGGGACGGCATAATGCCTGTCGGCTCTTTTGGGTAGACATTTCTTCGCCGAGAGATGTTCGCATGCACTGCGGAAGCCGCCGAGATCAACTAGTTCCTAGATGACCTGCCCCTCCCATTGCCTCCATTGTCTTGCTTTCTCGCTCCAAACCGTCCATTCTTGGACCAGCTCCGCCTAAGCTACTGCAATTCCCTGCCATCCATCGCCTTAAGAGTTGCACATCCACCAACCGCCGCCCGCTCTGATTGCGAAGATTCCCTCCAGTCCACGCATCTTCTCTTCGCCTGCCCTGCCTTTCTCACGACTCTCAACGTCTCCTATCTGTGGGCCATACTGCAGAGGTGGTGGCATTTGCGGCCACTCTTACCCATCTCCTCCTCTTTCGGTGGGCACGTATAGACTTGCTCTCTCCCGTAAACATGTTCCTAACCATGGACATGCACTCTTCTTCCCCCTCTTCCGGTGGGCACGTAGGCATGCTCCTGCCCGTGGACACGCTACAGTCCGTGGCCACACACCTGCTCGCGGACATGCACCTGCACGTGGACATGCTACTGTCAACGAACACGCACCTGCCTATGAACACGCACCGGCTCGTAGGCTAGGCTGCTGGAGTTGCGGTTGATGGCCCACAACGGAGTGCCAGATGGGACGGGGGTGCCGGCGTTCAGCCAGTGCGCCGTGGTGCTGCCTGCCTCCAGCTCAGCGCCCACCCAGTAGTCATGTTGCGTCAGCCCTGCCCGTCATGAGTGATTCAGCAATAATATTACGGTAGAATATTACAAAGAAAAAATTATTACTACATCTCGTTGATCAAGGACGGGTAGCACTGTCCAGATGTTAGGATACGTAGCACCACTTTCCCTGTCCCCACCTTGCTGCTCGAGGGAGCGCAGTATCGCCCAGAAGTTAGTCTACGTAGCGCCATATTCCCTGGCCCCACCTTGGTGCTCGAGGTAGCGCAGTATATGGGCCAGAAGTTAAGACTACGTTGCACCACATTCCCTGTCCCCACCTGGCGGGTCGAGGAAGCGCAGTATCGTCCAGAAGTTAGGACTACGTTGCATCACATTCCCTGCCCCACCTCGCTGCTCGAGGTGGCGCAGTATCGCCCAGGAGATAAGACTACGTTGCACCACATTCTTTGTTTCCACCTTGCTGCTCGAGGTAGCGCAGTATTGTCCAGAAGTTGAGACTACCTGTCATCACATTCCTTGCCCCCACCTTGCTGCTCGAGGTAGCGAAGTATCGTCCAGAAGTCGTTGGGGTCTTCAAATTCGAGCATCGAACCACCCAGCCTACTACACTCGTACTGCATCTCATCGTGGGTTCCTGTAGAGAATAAAAAATGGTATTCATGCCAGTCGATCAAAACTAAAATGTAATGCGTACCTCTGGATTAGAGGAAAAGTATATTCGTGCGTGTCCAGAACAAGTGAATGTGCGCATGTCTGTTTGTTGGGCTTGCCGATTTGTAAAATTGCAAAAGCGCTAGCGCAAGCCTGGAGCGGAAATAATTTTAAATTGTCTCCTGACGTTGATTGCCAACATCCTAACAACAGACCGTAATAACTCACTGTCGTGACCCATACAGTAAATGAATATACAAGCAAAGCCTTAGAAGACCCTTGAAATTAGACAATAATCGTTCTGCCTACTAATATGTAAAGAATAATAAATGTGACGATGGAAAATTATGGTAATAAAGCAAACTTCAATTATGAAATATAATCTGTGCGTCCTCTTACCCCAAATCAATAAATACACTTATCTTTTCTGAGCGTCAGATTCTTTCAATCAAGTACATCATCCCGGACTATAACTTCTGAGCCTTGCCGAAAGGTACAATTAATTCAAATTTAGGACTCGAGATAATGAAGAATTATAGAATCGCAGAATATGAAACAAAAATCGCTGTATATTGAATTAACAAGAAACTATCGTTAGGAAAATAATTCGCAGTAGCTATTAAAAGCTTTGATTAGACACTTGTATGTATACAGAAAATGAACACGACTTGGAAAAACACCGACCTTTCGCGGTGCAATAAATATTGTACGTACGGTACCGCGTTCCCTTACAACACATATTCTACTTTACCTACCGTGGGCCATGCTTCCAAAAATGGCAGGTTTCTTAATATCGTCTGCCAATCACTGACGTGTTTTCAAGCAAGACCCACCAATCATAGACGGGAAATCAGTCCATACACGTGCATAGGCAGCTACTAGCTTGCACTTGAGCGAGTTTTGAAAGCCCGGCCTGAGTGCAATCCACAAGCTGTTGATTAACGTTCGTTATACACAGCCTTCATACTGTCCTATATTAAAAAAACATTACTGACCTTGACCAAAATAAGTGACCTGTTTACTGACATGTATAACGTGCAGGCTGTTTGCTTACTTATTTAAAGCCTACCATTTCTTTTCACTCTTACATGCACTCACCTTCATTGAATAACTCCACGACGATGCACTTATCACCAACACGGTCGTATGGTAGAGAACACACTCCTGTTGGTCGCGTTGTGGTTTCGGTGGGGGTTGGTGTGCTAGCACTGGTTGAGCTAGTCGTAGTGCTAGTGGTGGTTGTGCTTGTAATCGTTGTATCCGGAGTTGTAGTGCTATCACAATGAGCTTCATCCTCCCCGAAGGGTTTGCAGTCATCATAACCATCGCACACCCATCTGATGGGGATGCAGAATCCGTCCGAGCATTGGAACCCATTCGGACAGTCTGTAGTACAGCATCAACATGAACATCAGTAAACCACACGCAATACACCACGGTATTTGTACACAAACGGAGGTGTCATGTTATTCACGTAGCTAAGCGCTAATGTGGTGGCCCAGTGGTTACAGTTCCGTAACAGGATTGTCGCAGAGAGGTGCGGTTTTTAGCCTAGCTCTGTGCGCCAGTTTCTGGTCAGATTCGGCGAAGAGGCTGAGCGGACACCAGAATTTGATCAGTAAGTTGCGAGTTCGAGACCGCAACAAGCTGAGAATTTCTGCGATGTCAAAAATCGGCGACAGGCTTATGGCCTAATAAACTCTGAAACCGCTATTTTATGTCATTATTATTACATTGATGGTTGAATAATTTATTAAAGGAGATATTTTTGTTATCTATACTTTAAGTACAGCTCCTATTTTTAGACAACACTTTTAATCTACTCCTTATATCAGAGTGAAATTATATGTACTCTGTATTACGTGCGCTTAAAAATACCACCTATTAGCCTATTAGCTCCCATTTCACTAGGTTTGTTTTTTTACTGCACATAGAAAAGGCGCAAAATTCAGATACAGTGACTTTTGGGTGCACTTGAAAACATGCAATAAGATAGCCGATACTCCGATTTGAGCGCAATTCATAGTACAAAATTGAAAAGCCTCAATATCTTGGTTAAACTTGTTCAAAAAAAGCTATATATTCAATCTAAGCTGAAAAGCTGAAACTATATAAAACGGTTCTTGTTGAGAGCAGAAAGAGGAAGGAGATAAGGAAAGACAGTAATTGCGAGCATGTCCGTGGAAAATTTCCGTAGTGTTTGTAAAGAATATGTCGTTTGATTCATATGACTACTCGAGTGTATTGTGTTGTCTTTATTGGGGCTATGTACATTGTATTTGAATATCTCGAGCGGGGTTTTGTGATCTTTGACGAGTACCATATCAGGGTGAATCTGTGACAGTACCAGATGAACGTCATGTTGAATCATATTAGTGGGATCTAGAGGAATACTGTGCAGGATGTTTTATTGAGGAAAGCTTCGTTTTTATTTCGAAGTCGTTGTTCAGTGTTTATCCATGCTAACGAATGCATCATGAAGGGTGATGTTGATTATGTTGATTACAGTCACATGTGGTTTTGGTTTTTTTCGTCTCAGGTGACCGAATGCTTTGGAAGAGTCTGGGTCTTTCTCCGAGAGCTTCAGTCCCTAATCCTTCTATCACAATTTATTGACGTACCAAAAAGGTAGGTGGTGCTGAAGTAACTGGGGTTGCTTTTTTGAAGCTCCTAAGTAGTCTGACTGTGCTTGGTTCGTCTAGTCCTGGTCCGGTGATGAATGATTATTTAAACTGTTAGTGGCTTGTTTTTCTGTTCCTACGGTCTCTGTCTCAGTCTTCGTCTTGAGTCATGGCTACCGAGGAAGGAGAATTATTCTCTGGATTTTCATCGTCAGTTTGCAGTCGTGAACTGTTCAATGTTGATCGTCTTACTTTACCGTTATCTATAACTTCAGTTCTGAGGTTAAAGTCTGTGCCCTGAGCCTTGGCCTCAGGATGCTAATGAAATAAATTTAATATTTTAGTGGAGCCTCCGTCAGGAAAGATCGTGTTGATGTCGCAGCTCCCTTTCAGTAATTCAAAGTGGATGCTTCCGAACCCGTAGCACCAACTGGTGGGAGAGACTGTTATATTCAGTTGCTTCTGTTGAGTAAGGGTGAGGGTGTTAAATTTGGATGTTTTTCTTTGATGGCTAGTTTACCAATGTCGACGTATGTTTGGTTGGTTATGCTTTTCATTGTTTCGTGTTGCGATTGTTTTTTTTTTTGTGTTTGATGTTGGCGGTATTTACAATTGGCTGCAACAGTTGCAGTAATCGATATGACATTTTTTGTCGTTGTTAGTGCACTGGGTGTAGGTTTGGAATACAAGGCCAGGCACTCCACCAGGCACACGTGGCCAGACACTCCACAAGATGCATGATATGAGACACTCCACAAGGCACACGTGGCGAGACACTTCAAAAGGCTCATGTGGCGGCCCTAAAAGACCACTCTTGCCTTTTAATTACTATCAGTATTATGCGCAAAGTATTTTTAACCCTCTATCAGTCACACCCGCGCTTGGCAAATGAATACTTTTGACATTTCTGGAGAATACAAACAGTAGCAGATTCAATTAACAAATTTCATATTCAAGATAATGAAATGACGATTCGAAAGTTAATTCGACTCACCACAATTTGCTTCGTCCTCTCCATTAGCGCAGTCCTCCCACCCGTCGCACACCCACACGTTGGAGATACACGTTCCGTCATCGCATTCGTATTGCCCTACCAGGCAAATAATCCCTGCACATCAATAATGTGTACGTTAGCATGGAACCCTGGCAGGCACTCTCCTGTACAGCAGCAATGTGTGCGTCAGCATAGAACCCTGGCAGGCACTCTCCTGTACAGCAGCAATGTCTGCGTCAGCATAGAACCCTGGCAGGCACTCTCCTGCACAGTAGCAATGTGTGCGTCAGCATAGAACCCTGGCAGCCACTCTCCTGCACAGCGGCAATGTCTGCGTCAACATAGAACCCTGTCAGGCACTCTCCTGCACAGCAGCAATGTCTGCGTCAACATAGAACCCTGTCAGGCACTCTCCTGCACAGCAGCAATGTGTGCGTCAGCATAGAACCCTGTCAGGCACTCTCCTGCACAGCGGCAATGTGTGCGTCAGCATAGAACCCTGGCAGGCACTCTCCTGCACAGTAGCAATGTGTGCGTCAGCATAGAACCCTGGCAGGCACTCTCCTGCACAGCAGCAATGTGTACGTCAGCATAGAACCCTGGCAGGCACTCTCCTGCACAGTAGCAATGTGTGCATCAGCATAGAACCCTGGCAGGCACTCTCCTGCACAGTAGCAATGTGTACGTCAGCATAGAACCCTGGCAGCCACTCTCCTGCACAGCTACAATGTGTGCATCAGCTAAGAACCCTGGCAGGCACTCTCCTGTACAGCAGCAATGTGTGCGTCAGCTAAGAACCCTGATAGGCACTCTGTGTGCGTCAGTATAGATAAATATGAATATTTTCAAATTGATATATAAATTACCAGCGAATTATAATGAGTCAACGTAGTGAAAGAATCCCATGGGGCATTCAATCGCAGTTCTCAATCAAAGCCTTAAGGCTCAGGTTGAGAACCGCGAGCCCTCATGTCGGCTCGGCTGGTGCCCTATGGGATTCTATGATTACGCTAACTCATTATTACTCCGCTCGTAAATAAAATACTTATCAGAAAATTGTCCTGCTTATTCATCTATTTATAACAATTTCTATACAGGAACAAACAATCTGCAAACTTTGTATAACATCAGTTTTGATAGAGGAAAATGCTGTACGTCGATGCTCATTATACATGCGCATTACCTAAATTTGTGAGACATAAGGAAGTAGTACAATTTATTTTCTAATGATCGGTATTAAAAACATATCTTATAATAATCAACCTCCATTTTATTTAATCCTCCATTTAATTATTGTCCAGGTATTTTTCAACAAAAACTAGCTATATACGAGCATACTCTCATGTGAAGTGAAAATCCCGTATACAAACTGTTCAAATGCGGGCGTTGTGGAAGGTAAGAGAGGAAACAGACATCGTAAATCACTCACCTGTCAGTCCACGACGGGCGGTACGGAGAAGAAAACTCAATGAGCAGCGAGGAATAATACGTGGCTGTCCCGTGTTCATTAAACTCTACCTGAGGATTTGGCTCCTTGACTAAGGTAGTGAGGGATGAGTAAGACACATCTGTCCAGATAACGTATCTTGTATACGGGGAGGTAATAGAGTTACGATACTGATGTACAGATACAGATACAGATGTATAAGTTACTGCGTCGACCGTAAGGTCGGAGAACTCTACCGACACTCTACATCGCGGAGTGCTTATCAGCTACTGGGGGGTCTGCTTAAGGATGCAGCCCTTATATAGGCTTTGGCTCCCGCCCACTCCTAAGGTCTTGATCGCGTGATCTATCTCGTGTCTACCAGATGTTGACTCGTCCTCAATCTCTATCAGGTCAAGTGAAGATTACGTCTAAATTACGTACAATAATGATTATAATGAGATGCCAGATTGACACCGAACATGGCCAGCGGTCAGCGGCGGCCAAATAGTTCTAGCCGACGCTGACCATTCCTCGGCCACCTGAAAGCCACCCGTTACCGAAAAAAAGAAGCTGTCTATGATATGATATTACAAAGACTACAAGCTCGAGGGTGGCACTGGCCGAGCTTAAGACCGATCGAGGACTTCACACGCATGTGACGAATACTTCTATCTCAGACTTCGCCACACTTTGACTACCAGCCCAAGCGCCTGAACATGACATTCGCTCACTCACCAGTTTTGGGACTAGCAAAACTGCTAGAATTTCTCGCAGCCGCTGCGGCCGCTGTCAGCAGTAGCAGCAGTTTAACCAACGAGCTTCCTGCCATTTCTGTTGGGAAATTGCGGCAGAGTTAACGCAGTAGACAGAAAGCTGTGGTGTATTGTGGCCACCGTTAACTCTGCCGTAATATCCCAATAGAAAGGGAAATTACGGCAGTTAATGTGGCCACAATACACCACAGCTTTCTGTCATCCTCAATAAGAATGCCTTCTAAAAAGTCGGGCATTTTGACGGTAAAGTCTACGTCAGCAAACCATAAACCGATTAATAATTTCGTTTCAACCACGGACCGCACTCAATAAAACATGAGGAGTATATGTATTGCACGGGCGTTAAACTTTTTAAGATATTTACGAGCAAGAGATTTCCAGATCATAATTCTTCATCTACATTGACATTTCTCGTCGTCATGCATTGACGTTTCGTGTAGCTCGTCTAAATCCTTGTCATTATCCAATTGACTAAAAGGATAATAATTATTACGTGTTAGCGGACGTGGTACATGTCCGCTTGAGCATTGACTAGTTTAATGAATAACTCTTGAAACCTGAAAATAATTCAGTTGCATATAATTACACTGATAACTAGTAACCTTTTTAGTTTATCCAGAAATGGTTCGCGTTATTAACTTATCACAGGGTACAAAGCTGCTATAGAGAACACTTCAACTGTGATGGTCGTTGGATTGCGTTTGCCGCACTGCGTGCCTGTCATGATAAGGATATATTAGATGGTCGCTATCACCGCCACATGTCGTGATCCCATGAAGCACCAACGCGCTGCATTCTTATGACTAGCACATTTCATAAGTCAAAAAGTGTATGTAATTATCGATGTTCATGAAGCTAACTTCTAACTTCTGATCCTGCAACTTGGAGCTCAGTATCAAACTTTGTGGAGCCATTCTTCTGCACGCAATGGAGGTCTTGGGCGCTTAGCAGAAGATCCAAGCTATGACTTCCATAGGCTTCCAAAAGACTAATGAAAAACTGTGTAAATTCTATTTCAGGTGAAAATCTAAATCATGTTTCGCATGCTTACTACAAATCATCCAAGTTTTCCCACTTATGGCTTGTTGTTAAAGAAGTAAAAAACCTATCCATTTCGTTCGGCGTTCTTACTGCTTCTTTCCAAATGGCAGGATCGAGAGGCGCTGGCGCCTCAAGTGTTTTGAAGGCTCCTTGCAATGATGTCATAAATCATTGATGTGTTGGACGTTACATGTCCGCTTTATCGTCGTAATTTCGCCCCGTAAAACCAGCGGCCGCAACTAGACATCAGATGATGAGAGCATGAAACATGGACGAAACATGCATCATGACTACTTGCTTAGTTGAAATGTGAGGAAGGGGCTTAGATTACTGAGAATATCGCCCATTAATCCTGTTCTGCACATCTATAAATTTCAATCCGATTAAGTGTACAGATCCCAGATTGCGTACATAACGATGTCAGTAAACTGCTGAGAACCGATTACGGCTTAACTGATAAGATTCTTGCGGAAAAATATTGTGATGACTGTTCATCGAAAACTAACGATGCATATGAGCAGCGATTAAACAACAATGGGTTGAACTTCACTAATTTTAGCATATGGCTGTGCATTTCTTTCCAGCATCTATTCAAACTCATTTATATATGCTTATACAATCGTTTCATTAATCACTTAAATTCTAAAAAATGCGGAATGGCACTCGCATTATAAAAACATTATTTTATTTAGTTTTGCGTTTATAGTTGTACAATGTCTGAATTTGATCGCAATAATAGCAGTGTCAATACAGGTGACAACAATTTATATCTCAATTTGAAATTCACGCATTAAAGATCATCCGAGGTTAGCCGGGCCACCTTATTTACCAATTTGCAATAATGTTGTTAAGTTCGCATAAAGGCTTCTGCGGTTCAATACTCGAGCTTTTTATGCTATAATTATTTTCAGAATAAATATGAAAAACAACTTTCTAATATGATAATTCTGTATTCTTCGGTTTAGAGTAAATCATATATTCAGGGGCGTTTATTGAACGCTTGGCTATTACGATTCAACGCCCTTTGTTATCTAGTTCAACACCTTGTATTATTTTCATTACAAATATATTATTAACCTCAAATTAGATACTGTTTATTCTTCGATTTAGAATAATTGATTTAATGAAATATTTACAATATTGACGTATCATTTATGATGCTGAAATAAACAGCAAACTTAATTTCTATAAAATTAATATGCCCTGCTGTCGCAGCCACAAGGCCGCTGTCAAGGCGCGAGAGAAGCGCGACAGAGCAGAATTGTCCGATTTATAGAGACGCTGCAGCTCCTCCCTGGTCAGACGCTGCTTTAACTGCGCTTTATTCATCAGCTATGGCGAGCTTCATGTTAATTGTAGCGGCGCAGCAGCTACTGAGCATCTGCTCAAACCAGATCAACACATGCGCCGAGTTGGTTATAGCAATGGAGCTTGAATTATTTGTCTTCACCGATTTAAAGAATCATTTTGTCGAGATCGTTGATGCTAAACTCGTACAGTGAATGATATTACAGTTAGTAAAATTACTCGATAATTACACAAGATGTCAGATCACAACATGTTCTGATTGTGTTCGATTACATATTACGTTATTCCTCACTAGCCGAAGAATAAGTTGCACTCCGGTGGTCCAGCTAATGAAAATATGAATGATGTATATATAAGCTCGTACCCTGTTAAGATCCGTAAAATTCCAAACGTAATTAATATAATTTGGGTTATGATTAAATGATTAGATTTAAATATATACTCTTTTGTGCAATTTGTTTAATTGCTGTTGTATATTCACTTAGAACCAGTAGAACTGCGCTACTCATCTTTCACACATATGATGTTATCTATATTACGTAAGTTTATGTATCGGCTTGTATCTACTCGGTCGTTTGAATAAACTACGAACCACTCTACCCTTTAATTCCACCCCCTACGGAATTAACACACGTCTCGACAATCTAGGGAAGCTAGAGTCATAATTTCTCAACTAACTCCTCGCTGTAACTTAAATGATAATATCTTAATAAATTATTATCCTGCATCTCATAAACAATCGAGCGTCCGAGTGAACTCAAATAGAAGCTGAAACCAAACAAGATGATCGAGGTCAACTTAATTGATTTTTTAGGGTACGTTTAGCGATAGAGTTTATCCATCCTATGAAAACGAAATAGGAAACGTCTGAAAATTTGCCATTTATAAACACATTTATTCGGCCGAAACTGAAGTAAGTTGTTAACAACGAAGTAAATAGTCAGAAAATTCTGAAAATTTCAATGACATTCTTTCGAAGACTGGTGTCGTGAATGAGTCTATCAAGGATTGGATATTATAATTTTCACAGTTTCTTAAGCAGTCTCTGTGCTAGTAAATTTGTCGCAATATTAGAGTAAAAGGGTATCAAACCATTTACATTATTTGAAGGGAAATTCAATAACTACTTCTAATCATTTATACCCACGTTAGTCCACTAATTCTATCCTCCGATAAACCCTACGGATGGTTAGCAGGCTACGCACAGCCACGTGCCCTGGAAATAACATAAGTTACTCGAAATTTATGAGTGGATTCGTCTAGTTCATAATTCTCACTTTCATTTTCAAAAGCTCTAAGCATCCCTACTTCTTGAAAATAAATCGGAAGCTTCTTAATCAAACTTGTTTGCCATAAAAGAGAATTCTGTTACGATAGCAAGGTGGTGCCTATGAAGAAAATAGTTGATGAAGGAAAATAGGGACCTCCGTCAAAATAGGGATGGAAGTAGTTTCAATAAATACAATTAAAAAGGTAATGACTATAAAAAGAAATGAGCTGGCCATTTTATACAAATTAATGATAGAGAAACATTGTTTTTTTTTCTATGGGGACACCTATATGCGCCAAACAGGGTCGTGGGCCTGTGCATGAGTATTTTCGGAACTATTAAAAAACTCGCTATTTGCAGGATAAAATAAAACTAAAAAATTCAATGATGCAAATTAATTTAATAATTTGAAGTAGTAAAATAATGGACTATACATGTGGGCGCCTCAGGAGTGGATTCGTCGCATGATGCAGTTAAGGCTGAAGGGCGCTGATAACTCCAGAGGACGACGTAATCTTGATAGACCATCCCATGTTTCCCACTCCGAGCCATCTAGCTCAGAGGGGCCTCGCAGATGGTGCCCATCATGAGCTGGTCAGGAGGCGCAGCGGCGAGCAGTAGCTTGCGATGAGCTCGCATATAGACACGACGAAGAGAGCCGCTCACCGCAGGCTCCTGTGAACGAAGCAGGGTAGCAATCAGCAATTTTCGACTACATTGCGCACAAATAATAATCACATTGAACATATATTCTGAACTACAAGTAGTTAAATGGGATATTCGCTACTCCTTATTCCCCACGTCTCGGTTACTGTCACAAATGTGACCGGCATTAGGGACGGCATAATGCCTGTCGTCTCTTTTGGGTGGACATTTCTTCGCCGAGAGATGTTCGCCTGCACTGCCGAAGCCGCCGAGATCAACAAGTTCCTGGATGCCCTGCCCCTCCCATTGCCTCCAGATATGCCTCGCTTCTTCGCTCCAAACCGGCCATTCCTGGCCCAGCTCCGCTTAAGCTACTGCAGTTCCCCGACATCCATCACCTTTAGAGTTGCACATCCACCAACCGCCACCACCTGCTCTAATAGCGAAGATTCCCTCCGCGACATCTCTACGCCTGCCCTTCCTCTCTCACTACTCTCAACGTCTCCTATTTGTGGGCTATCCTTCAGAGGCATTTGCGGCCATCCTTACTCATCTCCTCCTCTTCCGGTGTGCACGTAGACTTACTCTCGGAAACATGTTCCTAACCATGGACGTGCACTCCTCTTCCCCTTCTTCCAGTGGGCACGTAGGCATGCTCCGGCCCGTGGGCACGCTACTGCCCGTGGACATGCTCCTGCCTATGAACACGGACCTGCTCGTAGGCTAGGCTGCTAGAGTTGCGGTTGATGGCCCACAACGGAGTGCCAGACGGGACGGGGGTGCCGGCGTTCAGCCAGTGCGCCGTCGTGCTGCCTGCCTCCAGCTCAGCACCCACCCAATAGTCATGTTGCGTCAGCCCTGCCCGTCATGAGTGATTCAGCAATAATATTATGGCAGAATATTACAGATAAAACTCACTGCTACACCTTGCTGATCATGGACGCGCAGAACTGTCCAGAAGTTAGAATACGTAGCACCACATTCCCTGTCCCCACCTTGCTGCTCGAGGTAGCGAAGTATCGTCCAGAAGTCGTTGGCGTCTCCAAATTCGAGCATTGAACCACCCAGCCTGCTACACTCGTACTGCATCTCATCGTGGGTTCCTGTAGAGAATAAAAAATGGTATTTATGCCTGTCTATCAAAACTAAAATGTATACGTGCCTCTAGATTAGAGGAAAAGGATGTTCGTGCGTGTCCAGAAGAAGTAAATGTGTGCGTGTCTGTTTGTTGGGCATGGCAGGTTTGTAAAATTGCAAAAGCGCTGGCGCAAGCCCGGAATGGAAATAATTTTGTCTCCATGCATGACATTGATTGCCGGCAGCCTAACTACAGACCTTAATAACTCACTGTCGTGACCCATTCAATAAATAAATATACAAACAAAGCCTTGGAAGATCCATGAAATTAGACAATTATCGTTTGGCCTACTAATATGTAAAGAATAATAAATGTGACGATGGAAAATTATAGTAATAGAGCAAACTTCATATACGAAATGTAAACTGTGCGTCCAATTTACCCCAAATCACTAAATACACTTGTCTTGTCTGAGCGTCGGATTCTTTCAATCAACTACATCATGCCGGAATATAACTTCTGAGCCTTTCCGAAAGGTACAATTACTTCAAATTTAGGACTCGAGATAATGTAGAATTATAGAACCACAGAATATGAAGCAATAATCACAATATATTGAATTAACAAGAAACAATCATTAGGAATATAATTCGCAGTAGCTAATAAAAGCTTTGATTAGATCCTTCTATGCATACACAAAATAAACAAAATAAAATAATAAACAAAATAAAAACACCGATCGTTCTTGGTGCAATAAATATTGCACCGCGTTCCCTTACAACACATTCTCTACTTTACTTGCCGTGGGCCATGCTTCCAAAAATGGCAGAGATTTTTTAATATCGTCAGCCAATCACCGATGTCTTTTCAAGCATGACCCAACAATCATAGACGGATAATCAGCCTCAATATGTGCGTACATAGGCAGCGCCTGGTACTTGAGCGAGTTTTGGTAGCACGGCCCCAGTGCAATCCATAAGCTGCAGATTGACGTTCGTTATATACAGCCTACTTATACCGTCCTAAATTAAAAAAACATATTACTAACCTTGACCACAAAAGTGACCTGTTTACTGACGTATATAACGTGCAGGTTGTCTACTAACTTATTTTAAGCATGCCTTTTCTTTTCACTCTTACATGCACTCACCTTCATTGAATAACTCCACGACGATGCACTTATCACCAACACGGTCGTATGGTAGAGAACACACTCCTGTTGGTCGCGTTGTGGTTTCGGTGGGGGTTGGTGTGCTAGCACTGGTTGAGCTAGTCGTAGTGCTAGTAGTCGTTGTGCTTGTAATCGTTGTATCCGGAGTTGTTGTAGTGCTACCACAATTACGTTCATCCTCCCCGTTGGGGCAGTCTTCATAACCATCGCACTCCCAAGGGCCGGGGATGCATATTCCGTTCCAGCACTCAAAGCTGTACGCGCCACACAAGCCTGTAGATCATTCATATTTACGTTAGCAAACTCACCAACTTAGCATTGAAACAAAATTACAAATAAAAATGTTAATGAACGAGGTAAAAACACTTCTTTTTTGTACTGTATAAAATGTTTGCTAATTTTTCCATTATTGGAGCTTTTGTGCCAGACTTCTATCCTATTTTACAACACTTCTCTTTAACTTCACTTCTTGTCTGTTTGTTTGTTTATTTGTCTGTCTGCTAAAATCTTGTAATCGATTTTTAACACACTTCTACCTCTCCAATCCATCTAAAATTTTGCACACTTGCGTAAAGTCGGAGACAATGCATGAATCAATAGACAGAATTTATAATTTTAAAATTAAAAACTTGGTTTTGTAATTTGAAAAATTGAAAAAAAAAATAATTTTTTTTTCTACAAATCTTATAATCGATATTCAACACACTTCTACCTGTCCAATCGATCTGAAATTTTGCACACTTGTGCAAAGTTGAAGACAAGACATGAACCAATGGACAGAATAAATAATTTTAAAATTTTATTTTTTTTTCATATATTAATATTAAAAAAAATAAAAATTAATTTTTATTAATATATGGAAATAAAATTAGAAATTCATTGTAGATGTGTAACATAGGAGACACTGTATTCCTTAGAAGTGTTGTCTTTAAAAAGTAATTTTTAAACGCATATTATTACTCCTAATATTTTGAATCTCAGCCAGCCGATAAGTTGATGTCGTTTCTGAAGATGCCGTAAATGGCCCACTTAGGCCATTTACATATTTAGTAAAATCTCCGCCACCAAGCAATGTGCGCACTGCGTCAGAGTCTTCATGCCGTTGCTCAATAGGATCAGCCTCCGGCCGACAAGTCACCATTGGTCGCACCGAGCGGACCACCCATTTTCGCAGCGGATCACATCAGTCTGCTGCAGCATCCTACCCAGGCACTCTGAACACGTGCAGGCACGCAAAGCAACTCAACTATAACACCTTTGTGTGATAGTTGAGTTGTTTGTTGTGTTGTGTAAGGCTGTGCAGGGCTACGCTGCACCTGGAAGTCTGTCATAAATCAACGCGTATAGGTGTAGCGTCTTAAACACCCCACTCATACTTCACCAGAAAGGCGCACATAGACCAGCGAATACGGACAAACTAGACGCATCGCAAGCGATGCACTAAACAAAAACTAAACCAGAGCCGACAAAAATACCTTACGCCTCAGATTCGGAAGCGGTTCTCCCGAACCGGCATTTTTGCACTCCATTTATAGAGATATACATTTCTCTTATGTATTAAGATTTATTTGATGGATTTTCTCATTGTCGCTCATTATCTTGCATCCTTCATCTCCACCATTTTCACCCACTCTCGCTAGTCTAGCAACTATGTAATTAAAATAAAAAATATAACTCAGTACCCACTGCAGTGAGTGACAGAGAGCGCATTTTCTCGTCAACGAAAACGTGAAGTCACGGACGGACGGACAGACGGACATGGCGAGCACAACAGTGCATTTTTTCATAAATGAGAAAATACGCTAAAAATCATTTGCAATAAATAAAATAAATAACCTATCTTAATATATGACAAGAAAATAACACATAAAATAAATGTACATAACAAAAATTGAATATCCCTATTAACGATGTGCAATGTCGATTGCAAATAGTATAAATAAGATAAAATTACAAATAAGGAACGAAAAAGCAAGCCCAATTTACCTAATGAGCCTCCGAAGCCCTCTAATGGGGCTATATTCTCAATGACAAATCCCTCCCCCCCAAAAAAAATATCAGCCAGACGATTTTTCGACTTTTTCTTTAGTTTCCTTCTCCTTTCTCTTTTACGAACACACTGGGCCACCTCATCCTCTTTTTCCACCTTTCCTAGTAGCACCTCTACCACCACCATGTTACTTAAACTACATAGAGGCAGTTATAGTGATTTCTTACTTGTAGTAGCCGTGTTACTTACTACTTACTTGTAGTAGCCGTTGTCGTAGTAGCCGTATTACTAGTCGTAGTAGCCGTGTTACTTGTCGTACTTGGGCAGTTATCTTCATCTTCCCCATTGCTGCAGTCTGGATAACCATCGCACCTCCAGCTGCTGGGGATGCATTCTCCGTCCTGGCATTGGTACCCAGACGTGCAGCCTGTACAGCATCAACATGTACGTCAGTAAACGACACTTAATACACCGCAATACTTGTACACAGAAGTGTCAAGTTACTCACGTGCAAAGCAGCAATAGTTAAATATAATTTATTAGAGGGGATAGTTTTGTTATCTATACTTTAGTACAACTACTATTCTTAGACAACACTATTAATCGACTCCATATATCAGAGTGAAATTATCTGCACTCCGTACGTATTATATACACTTAAAAAACCACCTATTAGCTTCCATTTCATTAGGTTTATTTTTTACGGTACCTATAAAATGCGCAAAATTCAGATACAGTGTCTCCGGTGGGCTCGTAAACGTGCATTATTCTAGCGGCTAGAATCTAGCTAGAATCAGAGTATATATACCCTGATTATTGGCTAGAATCAGAGTATCGGCTAGAATCTAGCCGATACTCTGATTTGAGCGCAATTCATCATACAAAATTGAAGATGCCTCAATATCCTGGTTAAACACGTTCAATGAAAGCTGTTATAATGCATATACTCAATCTAAACTGGAAAGCTGAAACTCCATAAAGCGATTTTTGTTGAGAGCAGAGAGAGGAAGGAGATATGGAAAAGGACGAAATTCCGAGCATGCCAGTGGAAAATTTCCATACTGTTTGTATGGCATAGGTCGTTTGATTGATATGATAGTACTGGAGTGTCATGTGTTGTCTTTATTGAGGCTATGTACAATGTGTTTGAATATCTTGAGCGGGGTGTTGTCATCCGTGATGCAGTGATCTTCGAGTAATATATGTCAGGGTGAATCTGTGACTGGCAACATAATGTTTCGGAGTTGTTTTTCTTCCGCAGGCCCTGGGGAATTGGAAATCGTAGAAAGAAGGATGAACTCCGAAATGGATCGGTGCATTCTTGAAAGATGTCTCGTGGGGAGCGCAGCCGTGCTCCATCAATTTTGTACACCAATAAGCCCTTAATCGAAAGCCTTGAATCTCCGGAGTCCGGACATCCACCAATCAGCCGGGAACCACTCGGCTTTGTCCTCCTCCGGCCTTGCAAAAAATCTGCCGTGCACCACCAGACCGCAGGTCGAATATGACTTCCGGGCATCGTTAAATTATATAATTTTACGTCCACGCATCTGAGGTTAGGTTTCAAAAAGCATAGTTCTGTTCCAAAATTTATCGTCCTTCGACTAGTGGCCGTTCGACCGAGAGCTGTTTGACGCACGGCCTAGATATGATTGTCCAGAAGTGTTGAAGGCTACGTTCCGGAAGGCAGGAATCATGATGGTCCATTACATTCATGGGCAGTGGTGGTCTTCGACAGGCGACCCGGCTAGGGCAATTCTTGCATGGTTTCAGGAGAGGGACATTGAGTTATTGGAATGGCCAAGCCAATCACCTGACCTCCATCCGAATGAAAATCTGTGACGAGAATTTAATTTGAGGGTACAGGAGAGAGATTTAAGAAATCTTATCCAATTGAAAGAAATATGCAAGGAAGAGTGGACTAAAATTCCTATTTGCTATATGTGTTAATCTTGTGAACAAGTATTCCAATCGGGTAGAAGCAGTTTTGTCTGCTAAAGGTCACAATGACAAGTATTGAGTAAATTTGTTTACTATGTGTTGGAAACATTTTTGCAGCTTGACTTTTACAATATTGCAGTTATTAAGTTTACATTTAACGATATTGTTGTTTTGATATAATATTAGTATTTTCCATGTAAATTTACATAAGAATAGTCTTTGTTCATGTTATTTTGTTGAATAAGCTGTAATTAAATAAAGTTTTTCCTTTGTGTCGAATACTTTTTGCACCAATGCACTGCCTATTCAATTGTTCATTGCTCAAAGCAACAGACTCCTCGCCATCGTGCGCACCATAATCAATTACGGCAACCAATCGAAATTAAATACGTCGAGGCAGTCTCAGCATAATGCACATAAACTATCATGGTGCGTGGAGACTACCTTTAGTATCATATGGTGCTTAGAGACCATCGAGCGCTGCTGAAAGCGTGGAGATAATCAAGCGCTACATAACGCGTGCAAGCAATCATTCACTTCGAAATAATTTCCATACAAAAACATGTTATACAATGAAAAACGCACGATGGGGTGACCAAACCATGCAGCTGTATGTTCAGGTATGCCTATGGTTACTAAACCTAGCAGCTTCATCTTCAAGCATGCTTATAGGGTGACCATATATAGCAACTGCATCCTCCCTAACCATCCTCGAATATCTTTCCGGTAACCAAATCGGTAGAATTATTTGTTTCACGCGATTTACAAATAAGTTCAATGATTCACTATAATCCACTCCTTTGCCTTGTATGATAGAGTTATTGATATTCAACAACTTTCGAGATCAACAAGGGTTCTAGGGGCACTACAAGCATCAAATATTAAAGACAGAATAGCAGATTTAATTCCTCACCATCTGCAAACCTTCTAGAATTTCCCGCAGCCGCTGCAGTTGCTGTCAGCAGCAGTAGGAGTTTTGCTATCGAATTTTCTGCCATTTCTGTTGGAAAATTAAGGACGAGTTACCGGTGGCCTCCAGATACCATAGCTCTCGACCATCCTCAGCAAGAACGTTTTCTAAAATGTCGAACCTTTTGTCGGTTGAGTGTCCGTCAAAAAAAATTATACGATGAATAATTTGTTTGAGTCTCTGTCAGGAGGAAGCTGGCGGACTAGCACTCATTGATGAATACAACACCAACCAAGTCAAAATACGTTGACGCTTTGCGGGGCTATGCACACCCAATAAATCCCATTATTAAATTTATATGGACGAGAAAGCGTTCTAAGATAGTCACTAGCAATCGATATTTCAGTTGACCTTAGTTTTTCAGCTACATAGTCAATATGCTAGTCTTTGAAATTTCATTCGTTTAGCTCGTCATCATCCTAGTCATTATTCACTCTTGTAGTTTAACGGACTACTTGAGAAACCAAAGAATAAATCAGCAACATGCATTTGTAACGTCAACTAATGACTTCTCTACTTTCTACCATAATTATTCCAACAGCTAACTTTTAACAGGGCAAAATGCTTACGTGTGATCACTGTAGTTGTGACGGTTGCTGGATGGCGACTGGCGCACCGCTAGAAGGAGCACAAGAGATAAGATGACCGCAATCACCGCCACATGTCGTGATCCCATAAAGCATGACACGCTGCATCATTGTGACCAACACATTTCATGTGTCACGAAGTGAAACTAATAATAGACTTTAGTGAATCAAGCTTCAATCTTCTGATCATGTAACACGAAGTCCAGTAACAGAATTTACTGGAGCTATTCGTTGGAGGTCTTGGGTGCATAGCAGCTAGAAGATCCAAGTTACGACTGACATCAGCTAGACTCCTGCGCCTCGAAATAATTTTCTCGAAATGAACCGGGACAAACGGGACGAAACAAGAAATTGCCGGGACAAAAATTACGGGACAGAGGGTAAAATTTGTCCCGGAATAAATGTATTAACCGGGACAAGACTTGTGTCCCGTACTTTAAAACTTGTGTCCCGGCAATTATGAAACGATACGAGACAGGTAGAAATGAAACGAGAATTCACGTAACGAGACAAGACAAACCTTGAATTTTCGAGACAAAACAAGACAAGTTAAGGAATAACATATTAGCTCCTGATTGTTAATGAGCAGTTGCCGGTCATTTGCAGATGTGGTGACATTTAACTGTCAAACTATTTTGGCAGTTAAATTAGTGGGCAGATTAGGCGATGTATGACTGATTATTGAGTGAATAATGTCGCAGTCTAGCCTTTAATCGCGCCGTACGCGAGAATTGTACGAGTTCAGTACGCGTTCTATACGCGAGTTCAGGCGCGCAACGCGAGTTAGTGACATATTGACATCGTCACTAAGTCAGACAATTAGAAGACTGTGGAATGGTTCTCTTTTCTCTGGTCGTGTAAGATGCCAAAAGTCAAAGGCAATATTTGTCGATCAAGTCAACCGATGTCATCAGCAAGTACGGCCTCCTCCAGAACCTCTAAAACTACAAAATGTCATATAGATATAGCAAGAGTTATACCACTTATCACTAGATACCAAATGGAAATAAAACCAGTGTAAGGGCTGTCAATCGAGACCCAGTTGCTGGACCATCTATTACTCCAACTGATGGACCTTAACTAGCGGAAGCTATTAAATTATAGACTTACTCATTGAAGATTTTTCTTTGCTCTTCATCATGAAAAAAACGTATTTAATGTGCATTACAGTACAACATTGTAACTGGAAATATAAAAAATATGCAAATGTTCATTATAATTTTTATTTGTCTTCTCAAGAATAAGGGTCATGTTAATTTACAATAAGTAGCAAAACAATCTTAATAGCCGAGCACACAATCGGAATTGTCAATCAATACGTCTCAAGTTATTGTATAGGTCTGTAAACTAAAAACAAAGCTTACATCCCATCATTAAGTGGTACGTCTCGTTATGTCCCGTCATAAAAGATATAAATTCCGGGAAATTTTACACCTCCTATTTTAACCGGGACGTCTCGTCTCGTCTCGGTATCGTCTCGGAATTCCCACTGAGTGATAAGAATTGTCCCGGTTTTTATTGCGAACCGGGATAAAGCTTCTTGTCTTGTCTCGTCTCGTCTCGATTGGAAAAAGTTCCAAATGTAGAAGTCTAACATCAGCTGCCAAGTGACCAACACTGGATAAATTATATTTCACATGGAAAAGTCTATCGTATTCTAGAAATTGCCTGCAAATCACCCTTTGGTCTTCCACATGGCTGCCATCATGTCAGTAAACTACAAAAATAAAAAGATCTGTCGATGTCTGTAGTGATTAGAGCCGTCATTGCCGAAATACTGCCACTCACTGCAGTCATCATGCTCACAGTAAAGTCATGCTATAGGTGATTGGAACCGTCATTGCCGAAATACTGCCACTCACTGCCATCATCATGCTCACAGTAAAGTCATGCTAAGTACCACAGTACAGACGTACGGCGCCTGCCGACAAATGCAGCCCAGCCACCAACATTTCACTACCAACTGCAGGCAGTCACGAGCTCGCCTGTCTACAGCCTACCGAACCAAACACTTCACGGTGCAGAAACGGAGGCAGTGAGGAGACGTCGTTAGATAACCAAAATATCGGCATGCGGCCATCAGCCAACACATCGAGAAAGCGAAGGCAATGCTGATGCTTAAACTTGTGTTGTTTGGTTCCTTTCGTTGGAAACCCGTTTAAAGTGCATCAATAATATTTCTGTAATTTTGTATCTTAGCTAATATTTTAGCACTCACAATAGCCCTGTGAGCTGAAAATAGTATGTAACTCATATTCCATCTATCTTCTTATAAAATTTAATATTAAAATTCACCCCATTGAGACCGTTCTAAACGAGTTCAGTACAGTCGGAAGGCGATTTTAGTTTGAACGCATGCCATCTGTCTGACAGCATGCATCTCGGGAGTGACTTCGTTCTTCAAATTTTCTTCCGTAGATTGTGAGCGCATGTATTGACACAATACTAAGGTATGTGCTTTAAAACATGGAAATTTAGGTAATTCTCAGTTAATAAGTGTTACGTGCTTCGAACAATCACAACTCAAATCTTAGATTTTCGCAGGCAATAAATTTTACGTGATTATAACAATAAAAACCTGAATTCCAAAATTATACCGACAATATTTCATGCGTCATGGGATTTCTAAAAACTGAAACCCTAATTCAAAAATTCCTCTGGCAACGTTTGACAAAGTGATACATGATATTAGGAATAAAACCCTGAATTTGAAAGCTTCAAAATTGCGAGATTTGAAGAGGTGTTACGTGACTCGAACAATCGAAACATAAATTCGAAAATAACGCGGTAAATACTGTATATTAAGACGTGTTACGTGATTCTAATTATAGAAAATGAGCCATTATCCGATCTAACGAAACCTTATTTTTGACTCGTGGCTTGCAATGACTTTCGATTTGAGAGCTATTCGAAAGTTTTTCTCTATCGAGCATGTTATCGATTTTATATTAATTTTTTTTAATTTGTCTGTTTTCAAATACTGACAAGATTCAGCTTCTGTTAATATTAGTAAATACGATATCGGTAAATCCTATAATGAAGTATAGTTAAACTTATTCTTTCTTCGTCTTAACAATTGCTGAGTGAGATTTTATTTCTAGGGTTCGGTCCTGGGATCTGTGAGAAGAATCAAAGTAAAGTAACAAAAATGGCTTTTTAAGTTTGAAGCTGAATATCGTTCAAAAGTTCAACTACTTACTTCCGTAAGTTTTGAACTTATGCATCCGTTTTTATCACCAAGTTCTAATTTACGGTATCATTTAGTTGAATCCTGCCATCACAGAGACTGGTATAAGATTAAATGCGGAATTTGTTTTAGATTTTCGAATATTTTAAATTGGAATTCTTCATTCCAAGATTCACTAACCAATGTTTCAATTCAATTTGATTGCGCGATTGGCTGATTGTTTGTTTTATGTAACATGAAATTAGATGTAAAAAAGGCTTTCGATGATTAAGTGGGGTATGATTCATAAGACATCAGACTATATCCCAAGTACACTGTGTATGACGTCCTATCGCAGAAACTCAGGTTGACTGGAGTCACATTTCGTCTTCTTGACGTTATTCGAGATGCGAGGACCCATCGACATGTACGACGCCTATCACATATCAGTTTACCTAAATATCTTAATATGTATATGTATAACAATAAAATTTATGCCTTGATTCATGTCGTTATTCGTGTTCTAAGAAATTTGTGATTTTATTTCGTGTTGGTACACGCAGCGCGGATGGATTGCTTTAGAATTACCTATTGCAAAAGTCACGTGCGGAAGCAAGTTTAAAAGTATATCTCTTTGTAGGGTACAAATGCATCCCAGTGGTGCTTGTTCACTGACAGCAATAAATTGCGCAGGGTCGCCTGCCGAAGACCACCACTGCCCTGGATGTAATGGAACATCAAGATTCCTGCCTTCCGGAACGTAGCCTTCAACACTTCTGGACAATCATATCTAGGCCGTGCGTCGAACCAGCCCTCGGTCAACGGCCACTCGTCTAAGAACGACAAATTTTGGAACAGAACTATGCTATCTGAAACCTAACCTGAGATGCGGTGAACGTAAAATTACGTAATTTATCGATGCCCGCAAGTCATATTCGATCCGCGGTCTGGTGGCGCACGGCAGGTTTTATGCAAGGCCGGAGGAGGACAAAGCCGAGTGATTCACGGCTGATTGGTGGATGTCCGGAGAGATCCAAGGCGTTCGATTCAGGGCTTATTGGTGCACAAAATTGGTGGTGCACGGCTGCGCTCCCCACGAGACATGTCTCAAGAATGCACCGATACATTTTAGAGTTCATCTTGGTAATCTTGGTACTTGTTTGGGACATAGCAGTCCTAGGCCACTATGGATCGCCCCCTCTGATTATCGTTCATCCGCCCTCATTTGGGCCACCTGATGCACGATGCTGTTGCTTGCTTCTCGCCGCTGGTAGTGTTGCAGGGGAGGTTGATCTGGGATTGTGCCCAGGAAAACGTCCAGTTGTCTCTTGAAGGTATCCAGGTAAACTCCCCCTCTCTTAGATCCTTTGATAGGACGTTGAACAGCCTTGGACCTGCCACGGAAAGTGATCCTTCCTGCAGGGATTGGAATCTGACTGCGGATCTGTTAAGTAATGGGGGGATCTTGCACAGTCTCCCCTTCTCTCATTGTGATATGTCTCAATCCTGGAGGTCTCGCTCTCGAAGTTTGGCACCATTCCGGTTATCATTTTCCATGTGTACAGAATGACATACCTCTCCCGTCTCCTCTGCAGTGAGTCAGACCCAGGCGCCTCAATCTCTCCCAGTAGTTCAACTCTTCCATCCCTCTGATCCTGGAAGTGAAGATTCGCTAGACACGTTCCAGTTGCCGCACTGCTCCGAGTGTGAACGGGGTCCAGAGCTGGCAGCATTATTCGAGATTTGGTATTACAAGGGCTCTGAAGAGTGTGAGCATCGGGTCCGCTTCTCTTGTTCTGAACGTCCGGAGAGATCCATGGCGTTCGATTCAGGGCTTATTGGTGCACAAAACTGGTGGTGCACGGCTGCGCTCCCCATTGCGCAGACATAAGTTAGGCGTGTGTAAAATTATGTTCGTTGCAATATATGTTTAACACGTTGACTCCGATTGCTACAACTTATACTAATTTCATTTTTGGTACTATTATGAAACAGGGTTGCCAGACTTTTTTTCTGGACAAATTCCCCGATTCAGTTATTTTTAATTGCGTTGGTCGGTTAAAATTTATGATACGGGTACGTCCTGATTAAATAAAAAAAGTACATGAAATTTTTAAGCCGTAACCCACATATATACTAGTATATATTGACTTATAGGACTTTTTTGTTCGCGGACTTGGCGGTTTTTTAGGCCATGTGACAACCCTGAATTACGTACCACTACTTCCTGGAGAAATAAATTTCGCGGTACGTATAAGTACTGTTGGCGGTGGTGGTTCAGGCTACCGTGCAGCACACCCTCTTGCCCTCTTATTTGTGTTCCTCTTATGGATGCTACTGTATTTTTTTCTATTGAAGTGTTCAACTATTTTAATAATTCAACTAAAATCATTCTCATTCTTTTCAGGTCAGGTGTAGATCAGTAACTGATTATCTAAATTTATGTCAAAAACTCTTCTAAAGTGTGGTGCTGGATAAATTGCTGACCCATGCTCCCTGACCTCTCGAGTGATTTGCTGGGAAGCACCCTATAAACCTCCTAACTGACTTGTATTGGAAGCAGTTATTGGTGCGCATCTTACTCATTGGTCCGTGCGCATTTTTACTCGGCGTCATCTTTAGTTCAGCTTCAGTTAATCATTTTTGCACATTTTCCTTATTCTGTAATTTCCTGTCACTTTAACTGTATAAGATCCCCATAGTTATTAAAACCAGTATTTGCGTTTCATTTTCCTTTTCCAAATTTAGTCATCATATTAGTTTAGGTCATTCTTTGTTACCAACCAGTCAGATAAAGTAGGCGACGAGTTTCTCACCCGCGTTGAGACACCGGTAACAGTACCATTTCGGAGTCAACGTGTTAAGTGAACTCGTTTGCTGTTGAATTGAAAACTGTTATGAATAACTAGATGGTGCCAGGGAAGAATGAGGTCGCCAATGAAAATAGGGACCTACATCACTATAGGGACGGAAATAGTTTCAAAAATTATAACTAAAAAGGATATGACAATTAAAATAAATGAGTTTGGCCATTCTATGAAAATTAATGATAGAGAAACATGTGCTTTTTCTATCGGAACACATATACGCTAAACCGGGTCGAGGGCCTAAAGTATTTTCGAAATTATTAAAAAACTCACCAATCGCCGGATAAAATAAAACGAACAAATTTTAATGATGCAAATTAATTTATTAATCTGAAGACGTAAAATAATGGGCTATATATGTGGGCGCCTCAGGAGTGGATTCGTCGCCTGATGCAGTGAAGATCGATGGGCGCTGATAACTCCAGAGGGCGACGTATTCTTGATAGTCCATCCAATGTTTCCCGCTCCGAGCCATCTAGCTCAGAGGGGCCTCGCAGATGGTGCCCATCAAGATCTGGTCAGGAGGCGCGGCGGCGAGCAAGAGCTTGCGATGAGCTCGCATGTAGACACGATGAAGAGAGCCACTCGCCGCAGGCTCCTGTGAATGAAGCAGGTAGCAATCTACAATTTTCAACTACATTACACTTAAACAATAATCACATTGATCAAATCTTCAAAACTACAAGTAGTTACCTGGGATACTCGCTACTCTTTTATCCCCGCCTCTCAGTTACTGTCACATATGTGACCGGCATGATGTGGTCCCCTCTTAAGGGACGGCATAATGCCTGTCGCTCTTTTGGGTAGACATTTCTTCGCCGAGAGATATTCGCCTGCATTGCCGAAGCCGCCGAGATCAACAAGTTCCTGGATGCTCTGCCCCTCCCATCACCTCCAGAGATGACTCGCTTCCTCGCTACAAACCGTCTATTCCTGGCCCAGCTCCGCTTAAGCTACTGCAGTTCCCCGACATCCATCATCTTTAAAGTTAATCATCCACCAACCGTCACCTGCTCTGATTGCGAAGATTCCCTCCGCAGCATCTCTTCGCCTTCCCTTCCTCTCTCACGACTCTCAACGTCTCCTATCTGTAGGCTATCCTTCAAGGGTGGTGGCATTTGCGGCCACCCTTACTCATCTCCTCTTCCGGTGTGCACGTAGACTTCCTCTCGCCCGTGAACATGTTCCTAACCATCGACGTGCACTCCTCTTCCCATTCTTCCGGTGGGCACGTAGGCATGCTCGGGCCCGTGGACACGCACCTGCCCGTGTACATGCTACTGTCAACGAACACCCACCTGCCTATGAACACGCACCTGCTCGTAGGCTAGGCTGCTGGAGTTGCGGTTGATGGCCCACAACGGAGTGCCCGACGGGACGGTGGTGCCGGAGTTCAGCCAGTGCGCCGTCGTGCTGCCTGCCTCCAGCTCAGCACCCACCCAGTAGTCATGTTGCGTCAGCCCTGCTCGTCATGAGTGATTTAGCAATAATATTATGGCGAAATAGTACAAAGAAAAGATCATTGCTACACCTTGCTGATCAAGGAAGCGCAGTATCGACCAAAAGTTAAGACTACGTTGCACCACACTCCCTGTCCACACCTTGCTGCCCGAGGTAGCGCAGTATGGGCCAGAAGTTAAGACAACGTTGCATCACATTCCCTGTACCCACCTTGCTGCTCGAGGTAACTAGCGAAGATTCGTCCAGAAGTTAATTAAGACTACGTTGTATCACATTCACTGTACCCACCTTGCTGCTCGAAGTAGCGCAGTATCGTTCAGAAGTTAGACTACGTTGCACCACATTCCCTGTACCCACCTTGCTGCTCGAGGTAGCGCAGTATCGTCCAGAAGTTAAGACTACGTTGTATCACATTCCCTCTACCAACCTTGCTGCTCGAGGTAGCGCAGTATCGTCCAGAAGTCGTTGGCGTCTCCAAATTCGAGCATCGAACCACCAAGCCTACTACACTCGTACTGCATCTCATCGTGGGTTCCTGTAGAGAATAAAAAAATGGTATTCATGCCTGTCAATCAAAACTAAAATGTATTCGTGCCTCTAGATTAGAGAAAAAGGATGTTCGTGAGTGTCCATAAGAAGTAAATGTTTGCCTGTCTGTTTGTTGGGCTTGACAGATTTGTAAAATTACAAAAGTGCTGGCGCAAGTTTGTAGTGAAAATAATTTTGTCTCTTGACATTGATTGCCAACAGCCTAACTACAGACCTTAATAACTCACCTTCGTGACCCATTCAATAAATGAATATACAAACGAAGCCTTCGAAGTCCCTTGAAATTAGACAGTAATCGTTTGGCCTACTGATATGTAAAGAATAATAAATGTGACGATGGAAAATTATAGTAATAGAGCAAACTTCATATACGAAATGTAAACTGTGCGTCCACTTTACCCAAATCACTAAATACACTTGTCTTCTCTGAGCGTCGGATTCTTTCAATCAAGTACATCATGCCGGAATATAACTTCTGAGCCTTTCCGAAAGGTACAATTACTTCAAATTTAGGACTCGAGATAATGAAGAATTATAGAACCACAATATATGAAGCAAAAATCACTATTTTTTTAATTAACAAGAATCAATCATTAGGAATATAATTCGCAGTAGCTAACAAAAGCTTTGATTAGACACTTCTATGTATACACAAAATAAACACGTCTTGGAAACACACCGATCTTTCGTGGTGCAATTAATATTGCACCGCGTTCCCTAACATCACATCCTCTACTGTACGAATCGCGGGCTATACTTCCATAAATTGATAGAAATTTTTTAAGATCGTCAGCAAATCACTGACACGACCCAGCAGTTTTCAAGCAAGACCCACCAATCATAGACGGGAAATCAGCTCCTACATGTGAGTAGGCATAGCTTGCACTTGAGTGAGTTTTGATAGCACGACCTCAGTGTAAACCACAAGCTGTTGATTGACGTTCGTTATACACAGCCTTCAAAAAATATATTACTGATCTCGACCACAATAAGTGACTTGTTTACTGACGTGTATAACGTGCATGTTGTCTACTAACTTATTTAAGGCATACCTCTTCTTTTCACTCTTACCTTCACTCACCTTCATTGAATAACTCCACGACGATGCACTTATCACCAACACGGTCGTATGGTAGAGAACATACTCCTGTTGGTCGCGTTGTGGTTTCGGTGAGGGTTGGTGTGCTAGCACTGGTTGAGCTAGTCGTAGTGCTAGTGGTGGTTGTGCTTGTAGTCGTCGGGCTTGTAATCGTTGTCTCCGGAGTTGTTGTGGTGCTATCACAATTACGTTCATCCTCCCCGTTGGCGCAGTCTTCATAACCATCGCACTCCCAATTGCTGGGGATGCACACTCCGTCCAAGCAATCGAACCCGGACGTACACGAGCCTGTAGATCATTAATGTTTACGTTAGCAAACTCCATGCCTTAGCATTTATACAAAATCACATTCAAAAATGCTAATGAACGAGGTAAAAACACTCCTTTTTTGTGCTCGATAAACTGTTTGATAATTTTTTTCATTATTGTGCCAGACTTTTTCCTATTTTTCTCCTAGCATTCTGAATTTCATCCAGCAGATAAGTTGATGATTATACCTTTTTGAAGATGCCGTAAATGGCCCACTCAGACCACTTACGTATTTAATGAAATCTCCGCCACGTACCAAGCAATGTGCGCACTGCTTATGTCTCCATGCCGTTACTCGGTAGGATCTGCCACCAGCCGACAAGTGACCGTTGGTCGCCCGGAGCGAATCACCCATTTTAGCAGCGGATCACATCAGTCTGCTGCATCATCCTACCCAGGCACCCTACCACATGCAGGCACCCAAAGCAATTCAACTACCACCTAAACGCAAGGCCGCGCAGGGGAACGCTGCTCCTGGAAGTCTGTTTTAAATCAACGCGTGTAGGCGTCCCAAATACCCCACTCTTGCCTCACCAGAAAGACGAACATAGACCAGCGGATTACGACAAACTAGACGCATCGCAAGCGACGCACTAACCAAAAACCAGAGCCGACACAAATACCTTACACATCATATTCTGGAGCGGTTCTCCGAACCGGCATTTTTGCACTCCACTTATAGAGATATACATTCCTCTTATGTATTAACATTTATTTGATGGATTTTCTCATTGTCATATATTAGCATCGCTCATTATCTTGCGTCCTTTATCTCCACCATTTTCACCTACTCTCGCTAGTCTAGCAACTATATAATTAAAATAAGAAAATCATTTGCAAAAAAAAAAATAAATAACATATCTTAATTTATGACAAGAAAATAACACATAAAATAAATGTACATATATACAAATTGAACATCCCTATTAACGATAAGCAATGTCGATTGCAATACTATAAATAAGATAAAATTACAAATGAGGAACGAAAAAACAAGCCCCAATTTACCTAATGACACTCCGAAGCCTCTAATGGGGCTATATTCTCAATGACCCATCTCCAAAAAAAAATTATCAGCCGGACGATTTTTCGCCTTTTTTTAGTTTCCGTCTCCTTTCTCTTTTACAGACACCCTGGACCACCTCTTACTCTTTTTCCACCTTTCCTAATAGCACCGCTACCACCACCACGTTACTTAAATTACATAGAGGCAGTTATAGTGATTTCTTACTTGTAGTAGCCGTGTTACTTGTAGTAGCCGTGTTACTTGTAGTAGCCGTGTTACTTGTCGTAGTAACCAGAGTGGAGTCATCACAGTTATCTTCATCTTCCCCATTGCTGCAGTCTGGATAACCATCGCACCTCCAGTTGCTGAGGATGCATTGTCCGTCCTGGCATAGGTACCCAGACGGACACTGGTCTACACAGCATCAACAAGTACGTCAGTACACAAACAGAACTTGTATACGAACAGAAGTGTCAAGTTACTCACGCAGCAAAGCGCCAATAGCTAAATACCTTATTAGAGGGGTATTTTTATCTATACTTAAGTACAACTACTATTTTTAGACAACACTATTAATCTACTCCATTTATCAGAGCGAAATTATCTGCACTCTGTACGTATTAAATAAACTTAAAACACCACCTATTAGCTCCCATTTCATTAGGTTTGTTTTTTACTATACATAGACAATGCGCAAAATTCAGATACAGTGTCTTTTGGGTGGGCTCGAAAACATGCAATATTCTAGCCGATACTCTGATTTGAGAGCTGGAATGTAATGTGTTGTCTTTATATATTGAGGCTATGTACATAGTATTTGAATATCACGAGCGGGGTTTTGTCATCCGTAATGCAGTGATCTATAATGAGTACTATATCAGGGTGAATCTGTGATTGAATCTGACGGACGTTATGTTGAATTATATTTAGTGGGGACTAGAGGAACACTGTGCAGGATGTTTTATTGAGGAATGTTTCGTTTTTTTCCGATGTGCTGGTTCAGTGTTTATCCGTGATAACGAATGCACCATAAGGGATGATGTTGATTAGTGTCATGTGTGGTTTCGGTTTTTCATCTCAGGAGATTGAATACTTTGGTACATCTGCATCTATCTCCGAGAGCTTCAGTCCGTAATCCTTCCTCCACAATTTATCGACGTACCAAAAGCTAAGTGGTGCTGAAGGAACTTGGGTTGCGTCTTTAAAGCTCATAAATAGTTTGCCGGGGATTGGTTCGACTAGTCCTGGGCCGGGTAATCAAAATTTCGTAACTTTTATTACTAACGCACAAAAAGATACGTGTTGCGTAAGCACACCCTAATTTTGGCATTATCAAAACTTGCGTACACAAGACTTACCTGAAAAGCCATTTCAAAACCATCTGGCTAACTGACCAATCAGAGGCTTTGTATTCGTTTACATTCTGTGCTTTGAAGCCTTCTCTGTTACCTTTTTTAACAGAGCTTTTAATTTTTAACTTTTTTAAACAATCCTAGACTCTTTTACTCCGAAAAGTCCATAAAAATGCCGTTTCAAGATAGCAAAATATGTATTTAACGAATAATATGATAAAATGAAAAACGAGAGTAAAATTGTTATGAATTCGTCTTATTTCATTGTTTAGCTCCACCAAAAAACTCGTTTCCTATCGACATGTACTAGAGAAAATTCATTCGATGCATGACTAATATAATTCCTCAGATAAAAAAATTATATTTTTCTATAAAAAAATAAAAGATTTGGGCGCATGCCGGAGGCCAGCTTTGTCAAACTTCACACTTAGTTGATATTTCTTTCCGTAGGTAAGAACGCTAGAGGGCATAACAGCCCATGAAGTCAAGTGCTCAAAGCCATAGCGCCGGATAATCACAGCCAAAAAATAATCTTACTAAAGGTAAGCATGACCATACTGCATCTGGCCAAATCTCTTCCGGCTCAACCTCTTCAGGCCTAACCTAAAAAAGTTGCATTTCTCCCCCCAAAACGTGAGCAGACCTAACCTAACCTCCAAGTGTGCTGGTAAAGCCAGTCATTGGCTGCAAGAAGGTTGTGAGCCGGGACAGTTTGAATAGATTAGGTCAGAAGAGGTTAGGCCGGAGTAGGTGCAGCCGAATGAGGAACTGCCTGCTTAATTATGAGCTAGCATGCTTAGGCATTGGCTGAAGACCTACGACGCTATTATCTTTCAGCAGTGTGTCGCTTATCTGGATTACGGGGTTCAAGCGTAGTCTGTGGCTCTTAGCTCTGAGGCTGAGTAAAGTTAATGCACTACACGGCGCAGGCACCACGGCTTGTTTAAAAGCACAATCTATGGCCTGCGGCTGCGCCCCCGAAGATTTACCTTAAAATGATAGTTGTACACTAGTAGCTAAATGATTACCAATCGCTTCACCCATTCAAAAGTTTTACGGAACTCCACTTACGACACCTCCGAGCAGGCGTTAAGTTACGCACAGCTTTCAGTACGTAACTTTCCGCGCAACTGTTTTGATAATAACACCTCTAGAATTACTTCTTCATAACAGCACTTACGCAACGCGTAAGTTGCTACCTGTGCTTAGCGATGATTTGATAATCCGGCTCCCCACTGGTCCAGTGATGAATGATTATTTAAACTATTAGTGGCTTGTTTTTCTGTTCCTAGGGTCTCTGTCACTGTTTCTGTCTTGAGTCATGGCTGCCGAGGGAGGAGGAATATTCTCTAGACTTTCGCCGTCAGTTTGCAGTCGTGAACGGTTCAGTGTTGATCGTCTTATGTTATCGTCATCTATAATAACTTCAGTTCTGAAGTTAAAGTAGCCTTAGTAGTACGGAGCCTTGATCTCAGGCCGTTTGTAAAAGAAGTTGAATATTTTAGTGGTGTTTCCGTCAGGAAAGATCGTGTCGAAGTCGCAGCTCACTTACAGTGATTCGGAGGGGATGCTGCCGAACCCCTAGCACCTACTGGCGGGAGGGACTGTTATTTTCAGTTGCTTTTGTTGAGTCAGGGTGAGGGTGGTAAATTTGGGTTTCTGTTTATTTGATGGCTAGTTTATCAATGTTGACCTATGTTTGGTTATGTTTTTCATTGTTTTGTGTTTGATGTATGTACAAATGGCTGCAAAAGTTGCAGTGATCGTTTTGCCATTTTTGTAGGTGTTAGTCAGTTAGTGCATTGGGTGTAGGTTTGGCATTCACGGCCAGGCACTTCACCAGGCACACGTGGCAAGACACTCCACCAGGCACACGCGGCGAGACACTTCACAAGGCACACGTGGCGAGACACTCCACCAGGCACACGTGGCAAGACACTCCACCAGGCACACGTGGCAAGACACTTCACCAGGCACTCGTGGTAGGCACTCCTCTAGACACACGCGGCGTGGTAACTTTAATTAATTAAGGTAATTAAATCGTTCTCTTGAGGTCACTATTAAGTGCTCCTGGTCCTAAATGACCACTCATGCCGATTAATTACTTTCAGTAATATGCTTTAAGTATTTTGTAACCCTCTATCAGTCATACCCACGCTTGGCAAAAGAATATTTTTGACATTTCTGGAGGCTACAAACAATAACAGATTAAATAAAAAATCGTATTCAAGATAAATATATGACGATGCTTGTGTGAAAGTTAATTCAACTGACCACTACAATTTAGTTCGTCCTCTCCAGTGCCGCAGTCCTCCGACCCGTCACACACCCGTGAGTTGTAGATACACTTTCCGTCCAGGCATTGGTAGTACCCTGGCGCGCACTCACCTGCACAATAGCAATGTGTATGTCAGCTTAGCATCGTATCACGACAAGCATCAAATATTGATGATGTCCGAATGGCAGATTCATTCGCTCACCAATTTTGGGATCTGAAAATCTTCTAGAATTTCCCGTAGCCGCTGCAGCTGCTGTCAGCAGCAGCAGGAGTTTTGCGACCGAGTTTCCTGCCATATCTGGTGGAAAGTTAAGGACGAGTTAGGGCTGGCCTCTCAATACCATAAGCTCTCGGCCATCCTCAATATGAACTTTTCCTAAAATGTCGAACATATAGTCGAGCAAGTACCCGTCAATAAAAAAAATACCCAATTAATAATGGAGGTTTAGCCTATGACAGAAGAAAGCTGGTGGACTCGGACCCATTGATGAATACAACACCCAGTCAAAATACGTTGACACTTTGCGTGGCTATGCGCACTCAATAAATCCCATTAGGTAATTTATACGGACGAGAAACCGTTATAGGATGGTCACTAGCAAACGATATTTCAGTTAATCTTAGTTATTCAGACATTATTAGTACTTAGTTATATTAGACATTATGCTACTCTTTGAAATTTAGTTCCTGTAGCTCGTCAACATCCTAGTCGTTATTCACTCTTCTAGTTTAATGGACTATTTTAAAAACCAATGAATAATTCAGCAACACGCATTTTTTACAACAACGACTTATCTACTATAATTATTCCAACAATTAACTTTTAACAGGACAAAATGCTTAAGTGGGATCGCTGTAGTTGTGACGGTTGCTGGATGGCGACTGGCGCTCCGCTAGCAGGAGCACAAGAGATAAGATGACCGCAATCACCGCCACATGTCGTGATCCACATGACACGCTGCATCATTGTGACCAACACATTTCATGTGTCACGAAGTGAAACAAATAATAGACTTTAGTGAATCAAGCTTCAATCTTCTGATCCTGTAACTCGAAGTCCAGTAACAGAATTTACTGGAGCTATTCGTTGGAGGTCTTGAGCACATAGCAGAAGATCCAAGTTACGACTATCAGCTTCCAGGTGACCAACTATGGATAAATTCTATTTCAGGTTGTGACGATGTTGGGTTCAATTAACTGGTATAAAGTTTTTATATTTATTCAAAACAGTTCAGAATCACGATCATTACTAGGTAGCCTATTAAACTAAGGAGAGACTATAACTATAGAGAGTCTTCTAGAGAGGAGAGGGACTTCGCTCTGTCCTGAGAATAGCGTACTGCAGCCTATAATAGCTCAGTCAGCCTCACCAGGGCACCAGAGACAAAGTGCTTCAACTTGACTGGCTAGGCCTTACAACAATTACTGTTCCGACAAGTAGTGCGGATAACCTTCTTACACAGGTGAAAAAGTCTATAATATTCTGGAAATTGCCTGCAAATCACCCGTTTAGCTGTCCTGGTGTCAGAAAACAACCCAAATAAAATTTTTTGCCAACGTCGGTAGTGATTGGAGCCGTCATTGCCGAAAAACAGCTACTCACTCCCGTCATCGTCCTATACCGTACAGTCAACCTGGGGGCCACATTACAACCATGCAGCTAGCTGACGACAGCACAGTTTAATAGGACTCTAATAAACGAAACTCAAATTTAAAATTTTGCGGGGAAACTTGAAGAAATTCTGTGCGAATCTAATAATAATAGCATGAATTCGAAACTTACTCGGGCAATATTTCATGTATCATGGGCAAGTGATATTAAGAGTCATAACCTGAATTAAGAAGTTTCACTGGCGACAGTTGAAAACATGTTACGTGACTCAATCATTCGAAACATAAGTAAGAAAATTACACAGTCAATATATTAAGATGTATTACGTTACTCTAACATAGAAAATTACCCATTATACTTTGAACGAAGATATCTTTCGGACTCAGGGCCTGCAATGAGTGATGGGAACAATTCGAGAGTTTTTTACTATCGAGTAAGTTATCGTTATCGTTACATTACAAGTTTTTTTGAATTTGTCTGTTTTCAAATACTGCTAGGACTCAATACCGATAAATATTAGTAAATACCATATCGGTAAATACTATAATGAAGAATCGTGGAACTTGTTCCTACTTTATATTAACAATTGGCGTGTGAGATTTTATTCCTCTGGCTCGGTCCTTGGATCAGTCTCTGATATCTAGATGGCTTTCAAGTTTCAAGCTGTAAGTCGGTTGACGTTTCGACTACTTATTTCGTAAATTTTTACATTATGAACAGTTTTATCGCCAAATGCTGATTTATGGGATAGTTTAGTTGAGTCCCTCCACCACAACGACCGGCATAAAATTGAATATGGATTTTCTTTGAGACTTTCAAATTATATCAATTGGAATTCCCTATCTTTTATCTCAAAGATTCATTATTTAATCTTTCAATTTGGTTTTGAGATTATAGGACTTAACTGGAAGAATGTATGTTTTACATGACACAAAATTAGAAGTAATAAACGCTTTAGTTGATTGAATTTAGTGAATTTTTATGCTTATGTATAATTTATATTTTTATTCCTAATCATGGAAACCTAACTCATGGCTGAACTAATATATAGTTCAAACATGCATCGATCTATATCCTTGACAACGCACATGCTACGAGTTCACCTTTATTGATATGTATCTTTTCAAATTAATGATTTTATTCATGGCGTTATTCATGTTCGAAAAAATCGAAACTATGTTTAGATTTCATTTCGTGGCGGAACATGCCGCGCAGATGGATGGCTTTAGTTGCTCACTGCAATTAAATATCACCAGCGGAATTTAAGATTTACAGAGCAAGTTTAAAAATACCGAGTAGTCTTCGGATTTGGCTTGAAGGTTATTAAAATTTAACAGCGACTTGATTAGAGGTTAGTCGGTCGAATTGTTAGAATGTAATCCTGATCTCATTGTGGTGGAACAACTGCAGCCCACTTGTGCTTGCTCAATGACAACATACATATATTAGACGTAGGTAAGGCGTGAGTAAAATTATGTTCGTTGCAAAATATGTTTATGTGTACAATTGTACGTTCATTCACTTATTACATTCATGCTGTACTACATGCATTAATATGATATGCAAGAACTTGTTTAAAAACACATTATTTTTGCAATTGAATATTTTACGTGTGCCCGCATTACGCATGCGGAAGATAATACTATTTGTGAGCAGGCAACGTAAGGGTAACTTTTTTCTACGAAACGAATTTGACGCCTGTATCCGATTTAGTGTCGCTGTGTCCATCCCCGATCTGGAACTGCCTAGACTGCGCAGTGTGCACCTGCTATGTAGAGGTTTGTTGAATAAGTTTCCCTGTAAGATATTAATGTATTCTCAAATGGAGTGATGGGTAATGACGATTCATTTCGAGGCATTATTATAGCTAGGCAGCATCCAACGAACGCCTTCTGCTCAGACTAGCTCAGCACCTACACGCTGTATTGACTTTGGCAGTGCTCGGCCGGTCATGGAGTTTTGTGTCACCTTTCTGTGTTCGCCGACTTAAGATGCCTACTCTCGACGAGGCTATCACCATTGGAATTAGTCGAAATTTACACAAGCTGTCTGATCACAATTTATTTTGATTGTACCCGAGTTGAAATTCCGTTATTCCTCACAAGCTAAAAGGGATGTAGTGATTCGAGAGTATTATTAGAATGAAACAGTTTTTTATAGATTTAATTCATTAATTATGTACGTCACCTGTGAACCCTGGCTGATGGCGAAGTCAAATAGACTGAAATAAAAGTAAAGGTAATCAGCATTGTAAGCCAGTCATGGCCAGTCTTAATATTTATAATATCTAATACTTATGGTAATAGTTTAAGCTCTTGTAATAACAAATTATTATATACTGTAATTCACGATAGATGAGAATATAGCATCAATTTTCAACCAAGCTTGTGGCAACACCAGACGCGCCACTGGACTTTCAATTCCATTCAAAAACGGGTGCCGTGTTTTCTCTCTTGTGTCCTAGTAAAAACCTAACCACTGGGTGAATGTTTACTTTACTATTTGTGTATGCATTTATACTAGAAGTATATTTATGTTGACTTAAAAATCAAACAATCATTTGTAAATAATTAGATCCCGCTTAGGAAATGTATTCCGACCAACCTTAACCTTAGTGGCTACTTATATACCGAGATCCTCATAATGCAGACACTGTTTGGTGAAGCCAAAAGAAGTTTGGATTAACTATTAATCGAAGTGACTCGAATTTATATCTCGCACTGTCCTTACCGTTAAATGTCGTAATTAATTTTATTAAACATTCAAACTCGTTGGTCATAAATCTCTGTAACTATAACTATATGTAACTTAATTAGCTTGAATTTGTCTACTTATTTCGGATTTCATCAATTTTACAATTAAATAACTATACAAATGATCAGTCAGTAACTCGTATGATATTCTCTGGCTAGAGAGAAGTTATCAGTGAAACTCTTCGTATGATTTTGTGAGAGAAATTGTCAGTATCGTAAATGTTAATGGATTAACTCTCAAACCCTCGAGAATCATCTTTGTTGCTTTATGAATCTAATAGAATCTTAATAGTAAATTTCTAAGGAGTAAATTGTCGGATAATAATAATTCTGTTTTGCGTATCTAATGACTATCAAATTGAAAGAGCGATTCTTGTATAGTACGCAATCCTTGTGCTAAATTCCTGTTAGGGTTTTCTTATTCATATTGTACCGTAGCTGGCATCTTATTGAATAGGTTTCCTGATCTTTCGGATCATTTCGAATAATTGATTCTGTGACCAGCGATTACCAACATAGGTATATCCGGCGAGTAATTTAGCATTGCATCCAACTAATGCAGAATGTCATACAGTCCATACACGAAGAACATTTCACATATTTCCTCCTTGCATTTTATTATTGTTTTGCGTGTCTTGGATACGTCTTATTTATGCCGGCCAGTGTGTATTTCCTGGCACTCCTATTCTATAATTACCGGAATAAATTTGCAATCTAGCCTGCGTCACCCTCTTGATTACCTTATTTCTCTGGACCTCGTCAACCTCCAAATTTTTCTTCCAAAACCTCCTTAAAAATTGGTTTCCAAATTGCACTAAAAGGTAGATTGCACCTAAAGGCCTAGCTAGTAAAATGAAAAATGGATGCAGGATATCGATCCATGATGAGAACTTTATCTGATCCGGGCAAATAACACGATATTAGATCTTCTGTGAACAAGGCACGAAAAGGAAAAGAATCGGCGACAGGCCACATCAGGCCTACACTTCAGCGCCGACATCACTATGTTATGTTATTTAATATACAAAACAATTTCAATACAATTTGTATTGGAACTAAAATATCTACTTTTATTAACTTACAATAATCAAGATGAATGTCGGAGTGGCGGTAAACGGTTATCGTCTTTATTTCAATGCCAGATTTGTTAAATATCCGGTATGGAAACAAATGTCCTGTGCGAGTATTTTAGTTTCGGGGTAGTTGTTAAAATCTGGTATGTTGAGCTGGCAACTGGGTATACTCGGCAAAAAAATAGTTGTTAACGCTGCAGTCACGTCCCGTGACTGTCGCTACAGTCAGTATGTGCAGTCTGCGAGTGAGATATCGTTACCTGTTATTTACAATAGGGGTGAGGCGCGAACGCAACATGAAGAAGGTGGGCAAATGATGGTAGGTAGGCTAAAACCGGCAGTCTAAAGAGCACTATCTCTCAGTGAAGGGCAGGGGAGGTTGTAAGGTTCAAGTTAAGGACGACTCCAATTTGATTCGATAAATTTCCGCC